GAGAAAAATATTTATTAATTAAATCAATTTGAGTTGTTTCATCAGCAGGTTTGCTGCATTTTTTCATGCAAAAAAACTCTTCACTAATTTTGTATTTTTTGGGTAAACGCAATCCACAAACTTAAGACTTGCAACCAGAAGCTTCACATTGGTACTACATTTTGTTTTGAGTTGGCAATGCTTCTTCCCAAACTCTGCACCTTTTGCACCTCTTGATGTCTTTGTCTTGTCTTGGCTTTTTTGAAAGTTGCTTTTGCTGAGTTTCATCATCAAGCTTCACTGAAGTGAATTTTGCATTTCTTTAATTGCTTTGACTTTTTGGCCTCATCGTCTTGCTTTAGTTTCTCAAGCACTTTAGATGTACTTAGACACTGGCCTTCAACTCAATATGTGTGTCAATATGGTGGCGCACAGTGGGCCAGGTGTTGGACAAAACCTAAAAAATAAATATTTATTATATTCAAAACCATATAATAAAACTTATTTGTAATACTCTCATTCAAAATTTTGAAAACTGTTTTGAGTATAATAGTATCTTTTAAAACCACAAAAAACATTGTTAAGCTTATTCTTTTTGTTCTGTTACAAGCTATTTATGTATAATGAAAAAAAATTATTTTTTATGCATAGATATAATAAACAGTAACTTTTGAAATTTTATGAGCTTACAGGATTAGTTTATATATTTAAACTATTTAACAGTAAAGCTTTACAAAAAAAAAAAAAAAGAATAAAGTAAAGATTACCCTTTATAATACACTTATAATCTGGGTTTAAAATAACAAGGTAAGTTTTTAACATTTAATACTTTTATTTTGTACAAAAAGTACAAAATAAAAATGATAAATGTTAAAAATTTTGGGTTTCTTTAACATTTAAAACCCTTTTGGGTTTCTTTAAGATTTTAAAATAATGACTTGTAATTTATGTTATTTGCTTGAAATCAACTTTTATTTCTCATAAACAAAAATACATGTTATTTTGTTGATTATTTAATATAATAAAAATTGCACTGTTTACCTAACAATTTTTTTTTTGTTTTTTTGTTTAGTAATAATATAAAAATTGGTGACTTTTACGAACTTATACGACAAAATTAACTAGTTCCTAATGATATACTATTTTTTTCATTGAAATTAACTGTTCTAGTTTCTGCAGTATGAAAATAGAGGATTCTAAGTGAAAAACTTTATAAAAATGTTATGTAAAAAGTTGATTGCTGCAAACAATGATAATACTTATTTTGAGAGAAGTAATGAAAATTGGCTAGCTCAAGATTTTCAATAAAGCTATGGTACATTAAATGCTTCATCATCAGTTAATGTAGTTGCTCTTTTGAAATAGGTTGTAGCAGAACAAAAAGAATAAGCTTAACAATGTTATTAATATTTTATTTAGACAAATTACTTCATGCAACAATATTGAAATTAAGAAGTGAGTTTAAGTAAAATAAAACCCCCATTAAATGTGCTTAAATATATTCACCTGATGAAGCTTTAGCTTTAATTATTAAAGGTGATATATAAAAATCAACATACCAGCTTCTAAGAAATGGTGCTGAAAAAAATAGCTGCCTCATATATCCTTTATATAATGGTATAAGATCCTCAAATACTAAATGCTATCCCAAGAACATTCAAAAAGGTGGCTATTCAGTACAAATACCGCTAAAACACACTCACAAAAAGCGTATAATGTGGTATACAAACTACTGTACAAATAACAATGCTAAGGAATTAACTAAATTGACGTTTAGTTAATTCCTTAGAATTGTTTATGCAAGACTGGTTTTGCTGGTGCTACAGGATATTGTGTTTACAAACAGGTAAGTTATAATGAAAATAGTGACGAATGAAGAGTGCCTGTTAATTATTTGCATAGTACCTTTAGAACTCAGTAGACTTTATGATAAGAAAAATGTTTGCAGCCAATAAATTTATAATTAAAAAAATACATTATTATTATAAATAGAGATGATAAATGATCTACAGACTTATTCAAATGACATATAATAATATTAATAATAGAGTTTTATATCTATATATCTATTTATATTTTCTATATATTTCTATATATTTATCTATATATTTCAAATCTATTATATAATAATATCGATAATAGAGTTTCAAATCTAGTGATAAATTTTCATTTTTTCTGAAGTGCACATTTTTATTTTTAAAGTTTGTTCCTCCAGAAGTGTTTGTTATTCAGTTTCACGATTTTAAGAAGTTATAGGATTTGAAATTATAAATCTGCATTTTTAAAGTTTTATAAAGTTTCTTAAATAAGTTTTAGTATTAGCAACATTTAACTAAAACTTATAATAAAAGTAAATATATCTTAATACAAATTGATTCTTTGGACATATAAAGGATTTTAGTAAAAAAAAAAAAAAAGATCAAAATAATTTTGTCCACCATATGTTTAATATCTGTCCCACTGTGTGGCGCTGTAAAATATTTTTCAAATTGCCTTTGAGTCTTTCATTTGGTACGTTTGAGCAGTAGTTACTGCTGTTGTTAAATTTTGAAGTTGGTGAATCGTTGGAGTTTGATGCTGACTGATTTTAGATGATGATAAAGGCTGTGATGAATATGATGAAGCAGGCTCGGTTGAGGATTAGGAAGCAGGCTTGCTTGAATATGATGAAACAGGCTTGATTGAGGATGATGAAGCAGGCTGAGATGGTACTTGAAATGTTTGAGTAATTTGAAATTTTGATTCATCAATTTTGCATATATCAAGTGGGAACAAACCAGAGTTTTGAAATTCAGTGATTATTTGTGTTTGTGTAAATACGTCACTGGAGCTAAAAAGTTTTGCTTGTAGTTGAATGAAAATTTCTTTTGTTAAGTTGTTGAAATTTTTAGCTACATAAAATTCTGTAAGTAATTTGCGCCGAACTCGTTTAACGTGGCAATACACACTTACGTCTAATGGTTGAAGTATGTGGGACAAATGAGCCAATTAATTGAGTTGATTAATTGATTAAACTACTCAATTTAAGTAAACTAATTACCTGGAATTAATTTGATTGCCGGTATGTATACTTTAATGCCATTGAATAAATTGGATGTTGTAATTATGGTGTTTGGTGGTCCTCCTACACAACAGTCTTTATACAGATGTGATATTGATTTGTAAACTACCAATGGTGACATTGGTACCGAACCTTCAAATTATATGCTGTTTACCTTGATCGCCTGAAAATCCAATTTCGTCAAAATTCCACAAATTGCACACAGCGTTATTCCTTCAAGAAATTGTTTTTGAAGTGTATTAAAATAACTTGTTATTTTGTCTTCGGTACAAAAGGAATTTCAGAGAGACAAAATATTGCCTGCTACTCTGATGCTTAATTTATGACTCCATTGTTTCGTGAAACCTTGATACTATTCTTGTCTTGGTATACCACTTGGAGGAAACAGATGACTTTGATTTGTAGATACTAAACATCCCCCAACTATTACGATGACATCTGCAAACATTCTGCCAAAACCCCAATCGGCTAAACTGATAAGTACTGAAACAAGAACAAATTCAAATGCTGTACTTAGCACGGTAGTTGTACCACAACAAATTCAAATGCTGTACTTAGCACGGTAGTTGTACCATGTGATTGGACTTTGTTGGGCACACACTTGTGAAGAGTTGCCTTTGGTATGTTGTATTCCTCTGAAGCTTTACTGAGTGATCTTTCCTTTTTTTTTGGTTTGTTCTACTGCAAGTTGCAATTGCTCTTCACTGTAAGTTGTTTGCGTTTTACAAATGTAAGTACAAGTCATTTTGTTTTAAAATTTTTTAGATAGATTTTTACAAAGACATATTTATTTACGTTTTAAATAATTAATAACTATTAATTAGTTTAGCCGCGCTCATCTTAATGCATAAATGTGAGCAATTAGTATGTTTACTCTTCCCCCTAAAAACATTTATATTGGTTTTTTGCTCTTAACTTTTTTCAGGAACAAAAAAATTTTGAAAAGCGAATCTTGATCGTCATGAAATCTTTTTCAAAACTTTTTTAGTTTAGTAAAACTTAATTTTAGTTTTGGGAGTTTTGAAGTTGATTTTTTTGAAAAAAAAAATTTTGAGGTGAGAATTTTAAAGTTTTTTAGTCAAAAAAGTTTTTGAAACGGTTTTCATACCTTTAGATAGAGCACAAAATTCTTTACAATACGGTGCCTCAAATTTATAAAATTTTATGTTTTAGCTTTCAATAAATGCAAAAAAAAACAAAATAGCTAAACCGTTCACTTTTTTTTTCGTTTACTCTTACCTTAGTTTACTCTATATATCAAATTAACAGATTATATCAAAAACTTTTATTATATATATATATATATATATATATATATATATATATATATATATATATATATATATATATATACATATATATTTAAACAATTTAAAATGTATTCTACAAAAAGAGTGCTCAATGTTCTTAAAAGAACAGAGCAATTACAAATTAGTAGAAAATCACTTAGCAAAGTTTTTTCTCATTTAACACTGTGTTTCATCTATAAAACTCATCAGAAATGCGTTTCTGATGAGCCTTTATTGATGAAACACAGTGTTAAATGAGAAAAAATTTTGCTAAGTGATTTTCTACTAATTTGTAATTGCTCTGTTCTTTTAAGAACATTGAGCACTCTTTTTGTAGAATACATTTTAAATTGTTTAAATATATATGTATATATATATATATATATATATATATATATATATATATATATATATATATATATATACATATATATATATATATATATATATATATATATATATATATATATATATATATATATATATATATATATATATATATATATATATATATATATATATATATATATATATATATAAAATAGCTAAACCGTTCACTTTTTTTTTCGTTTACTCTTACCTTAGTTTACTCTATATATCAAATTAACAGATTATATCAAAAACTTTTATTTTATATATTTATATATATAGAGATGTATTTTTGAATTCAGATCGACACATGTTCCGGTCGGAGATGATCAAGTTCAGCATATGGAGTTAACACGCGATGTTGCTACTTTGTTTAATAAGACGTATACCTATACCTTTCCCGTTCCAGAAACATTATTGACATCTACTCCAAGAATTTCCAGCCTACGAGATCCGACCCAGAAGATGAGTAAATCAGATATTAATGAAAACTCGCGAATTAATTTAAACGATTCACCTGACACGATTACAAATAAGATTAGAAAAGCAGTAACTGACTCAGAACCTTATATTAGCGATTGTTTAGATAAGAGACATGGTGTTCGAAACCTTATTGAAATACTAAGTAGTTTGAGCAGAACTTCAAACGAAAACATAATAAACAAGTATCGTAACACTAAGTACTTCACTGCTCAGTTAAAAAAAGATGTTACGGACATTTTGATTAGTAGTTTAAATAATGTAAGAACAGAGTTTAATGTACTTTCTCAAGATAAAAATTATCTTGAAAAAGTTCTTGTAGATGGATCCTTTAAAGCAAATGAACTTGCCGCGGTGACTATGAAAGAGGTCTTTCAGAAAATTGGTGTACGTAGGTAATGTTTTTGTGGATGGAATTACAAAAGAAAGTAAATATCGCATTTTTGTTGTTGTTGTTACATTTGCAACAAAAAATGTAACTTCATTTTTTTAGATTTCCTTTTATAAAACTTTAGTAAAATTATTTGTTAAACAGTTAAGCTATCCTAACGTGAACACAACCTGTATCGCATTTTATACGCAATTTATGGCTGTTATTGTTCATACCTGTTTTAATCTTATTTTAATCAGAACAAAGTATACACGGTTATCATGGATCCTGATAATGCCAAGCCAGCTGACCCAAAAGCGCCACTCAAATGCGGCTATAGCTTATTTTGTCTGCGGAATTTAATTTGATTGTTTAAATTGAATAAAGTTTCCTCATCGTGGTGCGTCATTAAATACACATGTAGAATGAAAACTACTTTATAATATAAGAATTGCTGCAAAAGGCACTCTATGGCCTATGGCCTAGCCATAAGTACAAAATTAAAATTTCAGATAAATAAGTTGTCTTGTTATTTTCTTGCTACTTATACGTTTCCGATTACTGTGTATTTGGTCACAATTTTCAAAATAAAGTTTATACGAGTGCTTTTCAATGTAACACTAAAAATTTCTAAAAATTATAAAAATTGTATGTTTTGAATCTAGGTCCAAGTAGACACCTTCAAGCGCTTCAAACTTTACCACTAAGCACTTGTAAATGTACAACTAAATACGAGCATGAAAAACAACGAAATTAGTCAAAACTATGATCCAAACATGTAATAGCAAGGTGATAGTGCCAAACATTTACATGAGTTTCCTATGAGCTTAAGATTCTGCAACAGTTCGGGTTGTTGCTCATTACAATGATTCATAAAGTCTTGCGAATCACGTCATTTAATCTCACAAAATTTCTATTGACTGTTTTGTAAATATGTTGGAAATTGTTTTTTCAAGTTTTGTCTGAGCGTTGTTGCTGCTGCGTTAAAAGATGAAACCAGCTCACTACCACAAAAACAAACATTTACTCAAATATCTGGAAAAGATACTGAAGTCATTGACGAATTCTTGTTGCCATACCAGAATATTTGCCCAAAACTAACTTCAATATTGAACAAATCTGGTAGCAGATCGCTGTAAATGAAATTAAATTGATTTTGGCTTGCGGTATAAAAGTTGCCAATTAATACAATTTGTAGTCTTCAAATCCACTTATATATGAGCCTTTTCACATGCGATGTTAAATTGAAGTGTCTCGCCCATTCTGGAAACTTGCGGAAATTTCTTGAGTCTTTTCAGTAATCTCGAAGGGTTGTTGCTTATCTGAAGCTATTCAGCAATGTCATTCAAAAGCAAATCGCGGACCTGACAGTGTTTTAATTTTGAAAATTATCCCAGTGATAGAATTACATCTATTCTTAGGCATTATCAATCCTTTTTTTAAAATTTATAAAAAACTAAAAATTTAAATAGGTGTTATTTGATTATAATTAGTGCAAGCGTAATATCCTATCTAACACCATCTTTTATCGCATCAAGGGTTTCATCAGTCACAAATGATTCTTCTTGGGACCTTTTAGTGAACAATTCGTTGAAACTAGTCATCATGATTTTCATCAACATTTGTCAAGGCATAAGCAAAATAGTAATCATCCAGAGTACAAACGAAGATTGTTGAGCTGCATAACCGATCTGAGCAGAAAGCTTTAAAATCACCCCATATAAGTGATGTTCTTAGGTTAGCTAGGTTTGCATTATCTAGTCTATAATAACCATGTATATTTCATTACCCACGCTTAATGAAGTTTATGTCTTTTAACGGGCACGGATATCATCCATTAACTGCCGTTTCTGGCATTATTTGGCACTTAAACTTTATAAAACATAAACAAATCGTAAATAAAACGTGCCAAAATTTATTGCAAATAAATGATAGATCTAATATCTTTTATTTGCGATAAAATCTTTTAGAAGTTTATCTCTTGTAGCATTTAGAAAAAAGTAAACAAGATGTAATAAATAGTCTTTCATAACACTGTATTTGAAGCAGATACGTTATTTAGTTTTGCAATGCAACCAGTCATCGATTCCTTAGTGAAAGATAGGGTAACACGGAACAAAATTAAAAATATTTTTGAAATTTTAGCTAACAAAACCTAAATAGATGAAAATTTAGTATTTTCCGGTTAACAATTTTTTTTAAACGTTTTCTCAAAATAATTTAGTGAAACTTTCTAAATTAAAATTTTTTTTTCTAAAAAGCAAAAGTTATTCCTTAACAGTTTTTTAAACTCACGAGAATTTCAAAAAAACAGAAACAAATCCACCTAATTAATCAATAAAGACTTGAATAATTGAATGCGTGAATAAATCCATCAAATTATAAATAGGTGCCCTTAGACGTCTTTACGCTTTTACCACAGAGCACCGCGGAAGAACATTTAAAGGAAAATTGAGCAACCGTAGCGTAGTGGTTAGTGCGCTTGCCTCAAAAGCTAGAGATCCCTGGTTCAACGCTACCTCTGGGCAAGTTTTATAATATCGCTAAGGAAAGAGGCGACCTTAGCGATATTGTAAAAATTCCTTTCAAATGCTCTTCCGCAGTGCTCTGTGATAAGACCGCAAGGACTTATCACAGAGCACCGCGGAAGAAAAAATTATAAGTGAGTTCACACTTCTTTTTTTTTTTTTTTGTTGTTGTTTGTTTGTTTACATTTGACGTAATATATAAATTACATATTTTTTTCAAATGCAAACAAGGCTTCTAAAAGAAGATCACAATGATCTTATCGTCAGAAGCCTTTTACAAAAGAGAGTACGTAAGATATCATAAAAATTCCTTTTTACAATAAAAGTACGTAAAAAATCATATAAAAACAATAAATCGTATTTACATAAATGAAAATAAACTGTAAACAAGTATAAAACAAAATTTGAACATACATGACAATAACTTGAACATACATGACAATAAAAATTATTATTATTTTGTTTTTTATCACAAAATAAATTAAAAATATTCTAAGATATTTTCAATAGAAAGAATATGGTCTTTAATTTATTTTTAAAAACAGGATAAGTTAAGGGTAAATCGAAGTTAAGCAAAATAATTTTGTTCCAGAGATGAGCTGCACGATAAGTGATACAAAATTGATTGAATTTTGTTCGACAGAATGGTTCATTTAAATAAATATTATTCCTCATGTTAAACTTGTTTAATGGTTTCAAAATAAAAAGATCTTTAAAAATCAAAGGTGACAAAAGATAAATTTTTAGATACGTTAAGTTTATATATATCTAAGATTTTCATTTGATTAAAAAATATTGAGGAATGTGCGAACCGATCCGCAGAATTAATTAAACGGATCGTATGTTTCTGACAGCGATAGAGACATTGTAACCGATGTCGCAAAACTTGCCCATAAGTGGGGTTTAAACCACGGATCTTTTGTTTCTGAGGCAAATGCGCTACTGCGCCACGGCTGCTGCAATAAATGTCATAAAAGGTACAAATTCATAATCACTCCCTCCATATATCACTTCCAATAATATTAATATATTACTGCCCAGATCAAATTTTGAAAACATTTAACAACGACTTTACTAGTGTTGGTCTAAAGCATGCATTTGTGCATGCACGTAGATATATTGCAAGTAGAATGATACTTTAGATTTAGATTTCTCAAATAATAATTTGTTTAGTGACAATTATTTAACGTTATAAAAAATAAAAGCAAAGACACTTTTACTTTAAAGCAAGGCCTTCTTAAACAGGCCGCGACAGCTCATTTTCCGTAAAATTAGTGAAGGCCGACTTTTTTACGGTTAAAATTATTTTTTATCTTTGCTTTTGTAAACAAACTTCAGAAACAAATAAAAAGCTTTATTAGGACAAAACATTTTGATTGAATTTCGAAAGCAAATATTGTAGGAATTTTTTTTACGTTTAGAAATAAGTTAATTACAATAAAAATTTAAGGAGTTTAGCTAAAAATGACTAAATCTCGTTTTTATAACTATATGTTTATTTTAGCTGTTTAACACTTGTAATACAAATAATAAATTTTTTGATAAAAACAAACAAATATATTAACTTTATTTTATTAAAATTATTTTGACTTTTTTGACTCAAAGTATTTTATTTTGAAGTTAAAAGTTTTGCTTGTTTTATTAAACATTCCTTCCCAAAATCTTCAGAGTGTTTTTTACAATAATTGTTTAAAAAAATGTTTGCCAAAATGCAGCAAACTTTTTTAACACTTTGAACAAGCAATTGAAATTTACTATTGCAGTTAATAAAAATGTCAATTAATCCTTTCTTGCACAGCAATGGTGAAACTTTATTCACAAGTGTCACTTCAAATATAAAAAAACAATAAAAAACAAAGTAGACTAAATTGTCAGAAGGTTCTCTTAGTCTTCCCCTATTCAAAGAACTGATCAAAGTTCCATATTTTTGAAACATATCAAAGCTGTCTGTTTCTTCTAAAATTGAATGTAATTCTGGAAGTTTGTAAGCAATAAAACCTGCAATATATAAAAGTCCTTGTTTGCATTCATTTGGCAACTAATCCTCACAATTTTCACATATTGACATAATAAACTCCACATCAAGTTCACACTTATCACAGTGGTGGTGAGCAGGAGGAAATATTGTAAAATCTGTATGCTTGTCTAGCAACTTTCTAGTTTTGTCGATTCTAAATTTTTGAATAACATTTTGCACAGTTATCAGATATGTGCCACCTGACCCTTGCCGATATTTCCTAAACTGTTTTTCTAGTGCATCTGATTGCATATGTCCTAACAATACATAAGATACACCACAATTCAACAAATACTTGGCACAGCTTGCTAATCTTTTAGAAGTTTTTTGCAAACACTTGCAGTATCCATTGTTAACTTTTTCTCTCTTAATTTTGAATTTACGCATTTCAAATTTTCAGCAAAATACGAAGTATAGTTCTCTAAGAAATCTATTTGCCAATCATTAACTGAAGTAATAGGCTTTCTTTGAATATCATTTAATCTAATATCTAGACCTTTTGCTTTACTGTTGACAATAAGCCATCACTTAACAACTGTTTCAATAAAAAGTGCAGTATATTCAGCTTCAGGAAATTTTACACATATTGCTGCAACTGTTTCATCACAAAAAACTTTAAGAACTAATCCAACATTTTGTCGTTCAATTGGTTTTGGTGACAACTTAACTTATCGACTATCTGCAGCATGAAGTTGAATTATAAATTTCCATTCTGCAAGTCGCACAGTATCGTTATCATTTAGCAATCTATATTTTAAACATTGCAATTTTTCAGTGATCCAATTATTTCGAATACATTTTAAAATATGCACAGTGTCATTTAAAAGATAGTATGCTGGAACTTTTTTTGCATTAAAATATTGAAATATTTTTTGGTTTACACGATAGTAATCCATTATTAACCAAGAGGCTTTCCACCTGCAATTATGATTTGTTGATTTAATTCTTCTATCACGCTTGTTTGAAAATTTGTTGTAACTTTACAAACTGGAAAAACTTTTATAACAAGTCGTGGGCCACCAAAAAGACAAAGGAGCATTAGTGCTAATGGTGTATTGTTTGTTTTATTTAATAAAGCTACTTGATGCCTAATATAACTTGCTCACTTAGAATCTGTTTCATTATTAATAACATAACTAACAGCATTCTCCAGTTGAGAATAATATTTAATAACTCCTTTGTTTAAAAAAGACAGTTTAATTTGTAAAAGTTGGCTATATCCAGTAAAATAAATATCTCCAGAATCTTCTAAAGTTATATATATTGAAAACTTAGGTACTGGTCCACAATGTTCATATGATATTAAAGATGTATTTTTTTCTTTTTCAACAAAATAAAATTTTTCTTCACAGTAATTTATTATTGACTTCAAATTTTTTACAATTGTATTAAATTGAATAACGTCCATTTTTTTGAAGTTTTCGAACTCATCAGGTAAAATATTTCTTTCACTGAAAGAAATATATTGAAATATGAAAGAACCAGTGTTTGATATGCTCTGAAAGTTTCAGAGCATATCAACCCAGTCATATCAACCCAGTGACATCTCGTTTTCTAGACACTATTGGAATACAAGACACTGGTATACCTTTAAAGACTGATGAAGGATGCACTGGAACAAAACTACCACCTTTGACTCTTTTTAATTCTGCATCTTTAGGCCAGTGCTGAGCACAAATTCGCTTATAATCTGTAAACACAAAGTTTGCATTTGGAAGTTTTTTAATCCATAACTCGCGATCCCCGGATTTAAAGGGGAATCTATACATTGTGACATTAACATTATCTTTTACTTTTGATTTGTAATTTGAGGAGCAACCATAAACGCAGCATTTATTAGGCATTTTACGAGTTTAACTATTATAGTTTAAATCAAACAACCAAAATCCTCATTGAACCTATGGTAAGCGAAAGATACTATGACCCACGATGAGGAAATAAAAATATCTTTTAATTATGCGAACTTTGTTATTACGTCATGCTAATACTAGTTAACATTGCGTGATCCAAGTAAACTAATCTAATGTTATTGTTTTCGTTTATTTCGCACGTGCTTCAAAAGTTTAAAAAAATGCATGAAAGTAAAAATAAAAGTAAGTTAGTAAGTTTTTTTGTTAAAGTAGTTATAAGATTGGAAAGTAGTATTAAAAAGTGTTCATTGACTGAGGGAAAAAAGTCATTAAATAAAAATTAATTAACATATTTGTTATTGACGTTGCTAATCTGCTTTTTAAATAATAATCCTGTCTTTTTATATACAAAAGATAAAAAGGAAGTTTAACTTGCTATTGTGTGTACCTTTATACTTAATTTACTTTTAAATATTTGCTTACTTATATTTTTAAATTCATTTATTATTAGTATTTTAATGGTGCGTATAATGGCATTACACATGGTGCTACTTAAGTAGTAACAACAACAAAATCTGAGCCTGCATATGCTTATAAACAATATGGTTGTATAAAAATAAAATCTAGTGAATAATACAGTATATATATGGTTATTTAATATAAAAATAATATTAAACAATAACAATCAACCATTTAAAATACTGTTAAATAATACCAATAAACAGTATCAAGTAACATTTTACCAATATAATGTATCAATTTACATTTATTTATATACCATGGTATATTAGTAAAAAATATTGAAATTAATATATCATATTGTACAATAAATACTTATTGTACAATATGATATCAATTTCAATATTTTTTACTAATATACCATGGTTTATAAATAAATTTAAATTGATAAAATTTACAAAGCAATAAAACTTCAATGAAGTTTTATTGAGGTTTTATTGCTTTGTAAAAGATTCAAACCAAACTTTTGCTAAAGTTTGGTTTGAAAAAATTCAAACCAAACTTTTACTAAAGTTTAGTTTGAATTTTTTTTTCTTTTCAGAGATTGAAGATGTTAATAACAGGAATTTTTTATAGCTAAAAGAAAAAGTCATATAATTCTTTATGAAGATGAAAATGAGGCCTTGTGTTACATAAAACAATACGAATTAGAACACACTGTTCACTTTGTAGCATGGTTTACACCCAAAGGATTTGGTAACACAGGTTTGAACCTTTTTTTGATTTATTTAATATCAACTTTAGATGCAAATGTTTGAGTTTGAGTTGTCACAAAATTCTTTAACACAAACTTTCCAAAGTAAGTGAAAATAGTTCAAAAAGTAAATAAAATACATTATAAAGCATGAACACAAAATAAGTGTGAAAGTAAAAAATTAGCTATAAAAAGGTACTCATTGACTTTTATTGGGAGCTAAGTATTTATTTTAATACATTAATATAAGAAGATAAAATATTTCAAAGAAATTAATTTATTCCTGTGGATATCTAATAAAATTTCAAACTTTTGTTTTGGTGGTATACATAAGCTTGCGCACAAATCAAAAATCAAAACTATTTGATGTTTTTTAAATAAAATTTTCAAATCTTTAGTGTTTCTGCATAGTTTATTTAATTTATTTTTTATTTGTTGTCTAATGGTTACCCAGTACTTTGCAATAATTTTTAATACTAGGTAGTTAGAAGGATTTGCTAACTTAGAAAACTTTCAGGTTATTTTTTTTTTATACCATCTCATAGCCAGTTTGCTATAATGACTTGATGATAAATCAGGCCAGAATACATGTCTACTATCATGTGATTTTGTAGGAGGTAAAAGATGTTTTTGTTAACATGATTTAACATATATTATACCAAAAAGTGTGGAATAAGAAGTATAGGGTGCTGACTTTTTGTTATACCTGCAAATAGCTTGCGAAATCAAAGGATTTGCTGATGATCATACTTTATATAAGTTTCATAATATTCAATAATTCAGAAATTTTTAGAAATATAGTTGTCATACAACTTTCTTTAGTAGATTCTTGGTTTTTTTTTTGAATTTTAGAACAGACAGGTTTTGTAATATGAGAGCTTGAAAAACATGATTATATCAAACTTTTATGACAAAACAATGAGAAAATCCTCATATTTTTGTGCATTCCATTAGTGAGTGGCTAATATTATTCAAAAAACTGGGAACCAGTTATTTAACTAGTTTTATATCTTGAAAAACCTCCTTTTCTCCATTACCAGATTTGCATTTGATTGATTTTGTTTAGGAAAAACATTAAACAACATGACTGACGTTGTAGAAATGTAACTGCAACTTTTTTGCTACTGAATTGTAGCTAAATTCAGATTTTTAATAAAATTTGTGCAAAGTATTTTTTTTGAGTGTCTTCTTCTTTCGCCATTTTTAAAACTTATTTTAAGTTAAATGAGAAAATTAAAAACCTATTTTGCAATCATTACATGCTGCCAGCAAAATACAAACACAATTAAAAATATATTAATACAAGCACTGAAAAAAAATTACGTATTTACTCTTTCACATTTATTTTGTGTACACGCTATAAATTGAAAAAAATTAAATGTCACATTTTCTCAGCTTTAAAATCATGTCTCTATCGTTTGCAATTACGTTACCATTTTTTTGCAGTTATTATTTTTGCTTCTCCTTGAGTAAGAAATTTTTGTAATTATTTTTTATCCAGTTTAAAAGCTTGTTTAAAAGAAGTCTGCCATGAACTATTTAATTTTATTAACTAAAAATTAAATAGTTCATGGCAGACTTCAATCTCAAACTTCAAACATTTTTCTCAAATTTTCTATTAACCAAAATTACTTTCTTTGATGTAAAAAATTTGATGTAAATGTAAACAGTGGCTTCAAAATATAATATTCCAATACATGATAGTAAAAGTTATACAAATAAGCTACTGCTCTAAATCGAACATTTAAAAATTGTTAATATTTAAATTTAATTGCATTGTCATACTTTATTTCAATTTCTTTTGATATGGTTCTTTGTAAAATGGTTCTACTTTACTAGAATTTGTAAGTGAATGTTTAAATTATTAATTGTTTACTGTAAATTCAATGTTTCTCATTGAAGTTTGGTTAGCTTATTATATCATTTTTTGTATAAGTGTTTTCAGTGTAAAGCAGAACCTGTCACATTTAGATGTACATAGTGAAAATCATAAAGTTTTATGGGAAACTGAAGGATCTTATGCAGAAGTGCCTTTCATAGTTTTAGCACAGAAAGTTTTAGATTCATTGTTTATAACACTTTTATTCTAAGTTGTAGTTTTATAAAAAATATTTAACTTACTAAAGTATTGCTGGAATAATTTTAGAAAACTGAACACTCTTGTCAAAAAATTTATTTTAGTGTGCAAGACACAAAAAAATTCCAATGTCCAGCACAAGTTTCTATGAAGGAAATTATATATTTCAAAGATTATAAGGTATTTTCTAAACAATTTACTCTAATTGATAGAAATTCGTACATCCATGTAAATAGTTTGAAAAAAATCTATGACTTTTAGAACTGTTTCTTTAAGAGCTATATATTTAGAGCCACTTATTGCATCTTTTTTATTTTATTTATCATCTCTTAATTAAAAGCTTACAGAACCCACAGAATGGAAAGAGAGAATTACCTCTTTGCAAATAAGAAATTTGTTAAAATTAAAAGGTGATATTGGTATGACTAAGAAGAAAATTATGCTTATTGTAGATGACATTTCAGAACATAGAAACCATGCGGTTGGAGAAGTAAGTTATTTTTATTTTTTAATATATTTATGCTGTGTTATGGTGGATTAAAGTAATTAAATAGGTAAGTTTAGCAATGTAATGTATTTTAGCTAAATGACAAAATATGTCTTTGTTATTCTTCTTTATGTAGCTTGCTGGTATTTCACAGGAAATAGATCCTAGGTTATCTAAAAAAGTTATAAATTATGCTGATGAAATCAAAAATGTTAGAGAAATGAGGCGTCTATTAAAAATCTTTGTAAGAAATGACCTGTTTGATAAAAGTGATATGCCTGATATAAATAATAGGCGATTTTTTCCAAGCAAAAATATTATTCGAGTGCATATGGTTGCAGCACGAAAAAAATTACAACTTTCTTTAATTGATCAGGAATGCCTTCTTAATAAAATTAAGGCATGACAAAAAGATGATCCATCTGTAAATATTTTTTTTCGCCCTAAAAACAACTTGAAAAAAAAATGATGCAACAGATACAATAATTCAAAATGAAATTAATAATGAAGATAGTACTGAAACAGATGAGGACCTAAAGTTTACTGAAAATGATTCTAAAAACTCACTTTTACTTGTTTATCAATCAGAATGCCAATGCAAACTTGTGCGTCGATATGGAAATGAAATGCTCTTATTAGATGCAACTTATAAAACAACGAGATATGTTATACCCGTTTTCTTTTTAGTAGTCAAAACAAATGTTGACTACTAAATAGTTGGGTGCTTTATCACTGAGAACGAAACAAAACGAGCAATATGTGAAGCTTTGCGTGTTTTCAAAAGAATGAATGTGAAACTTTCTCCATCTTTTTGCATGACGGATTACTGCAATGAGGAAATTGATGCTTTAGAAGAAATTTTTCCTGGTAAGTTTTTTAGATTATTAGCCTGAAAAAAGTTTCTCAGGGATAGAAATACATTATTTTAATGTACTATATTTTGAATCTATATAATTTGAAAACCCCTTTAAACTGGATGGGTTTTGAAACCCATCAGTAATCTCCTCTCCTTAATTCAAGCTGTTTTTAATATTTGTGGCATAATCTGCTTTATAATGATTGAAATCTTTGATTAAATTTTTTAAGTTTGTGAAAAAATATTAGCATGAATTAATTTCTTATGTTTAAAAACATAATAAATCTGATAAATTTGATAAATCTGAGGCAAAGTAATCGAGGTTATTGTAATGTGTAATGAAGTATAAAATTATGAAGTATAATTTTTTGTAAACTGTGTAATGAAGTATAAAATAGCATTCTAAATTAATGTAATTTTCATTGATATAAATTTTTTTTTTTAAGTTTGAATTTTTTTATATATTTGGTGGTTGGCACCTTAATAGATTAAAATTTATAATATAATAGTAAGGCTTGTAAATATAAAGCGTTTTTAATGACACCAAATTCTTGTTGTTGATATAGATTTATAAGGTTATAAAAAAAAATCTAGAATTACTGACTTTTTTTGTAACTGTATAAAATTAACTCATAATATATTTAACTTTCAATAAAAAAAAATCCCTCCAATTTGAACCTTTATTTCTCCCATTAACATTCGATTTAATGAGATTATACAGTAGTATAGTAAAAATTATGCTGTTATGAGAAATAGTGGAAAATAGATTTGTTAAAATTTCTTAAATTAGAGTTATTTGTGAAGTAACTAATTCACATTTTTTGCTCAGGTTGTAAAGTTTTGATTTGCGACTTCCATCGTGAACAGGCCTGGGAGCGTTAGATAGTAAAAGTATCAAACAATTGTGCTGATCAAAAAGCAGATATCCTCCAAAAGCTAAGAAAGATTTCTCATTCAACAAATGTTGATGCAATGGAGTTAGCTATTCAGGATTTAAAACAGTCTGAATATTGGAGTAATGAAAGATTTTCAAAGTTGAAAAAGTATATAGAGACTTATTGGTTAACGATTATTGAGGTATTATATCATTAAATATTTTAATTAAAAATAGATTCTTCATGAATTTTATGTCCAAAAATAAAGCAGGAAATTATTCTGTTATTCCGTAGCATAATAAAAAGCTATATAATTTATTTTGTATTTTACACTTTTTAGCGTTGGGTTTGGGCATACCGTCTAAACGGTCTACTAGTGAATTTAAACACAAATAATGGAGTCGAAAGACAAAATAAATCATTTAAATATTCTTATCTCCAACAATTTAATAGTTCTTCATTAACTGGAATGCTAACTATCTTAATTGAAGAGTTTTTTCCAGATAAATACCAAAGGTTGTTTGATGTCACATTGTGCAACAAATTGTTTTAAGTTTTATTATTTATTCCTTTGCTCTTTTGTTTTTTTAGCTATATTGAAAAAAACTTTAAAATGGATTCTAGGTATCGTCGTTATGCAAAGATAATATCAAGTTTCCTAATAAATCGACCTCGTGAAATGGTTACACATTGCCTTAAAAAAATCAGTCTTGCTGAAAGCTTTGATTTAGGTAAGGTATCAATGATAAATCATGGTATATTCTCCATTAAAGGTGTTACAGTAAACTACCAAATTGATTTTGGAAATGATAGTAATATGCCGAACTGCACATGCTCTTCATGGCGTTTATCTTGTTATCCATGCAAGCATTTTTTTGCAATTTTTAGAAAGTTCCCACTCTGGCAATGTGATGCATTACCACTTATATATCGCAATTCACCATTACTAACATTAGACAATGAAGAAATTCATTTTCAAAATGAGGAAGTTACATCTAAAAAAGACAAATGTGACACTAATTTTACCGATTCTAAAAAGATAGTAGAATCAGAAGAAATAAATGAAGAAAACATTTGTAGTAAATAGTTTAAATAAAGAAAGCGTTTCTGCTGGGAACTGTAGAGAGCTACTTAATGTAATTAAAAATCAATTGTATAATGTAAATAAAAATGTTGATGTTTTTGAAAAAGTATATAGTTTGCTAATGGAGGCGTCTAAGCTTTTAAATGAAAACACTACCCATGAGAGTGGAATACCTATCAGTCAGCAGCAGCCTGCTAAATACTGTCACATTTTAGATTTGCCAAAAAGGGGTAAAAAAATGTCTTATTCAAATCGTTGTGGAATAGCTAAGGACAAAAAAAAAGCTGGAGAAAAGATAAAAATTACAACATTAGACTGTCCTGTTGTCAATGTTGAAGAGGAAGTTATCATAGAAGACATGGATCTAGATGGTCTGACTTCATTTAATTGTAATGTACCAAATAAACATGTAACGCCAAAAGAAGAGTTTGAGAAAATGATTACAATAAAAGACAACAGCCAAGAACTATATGTTTTGAATCTTTGTTGTCCTATCACCAGACAAGACTTAAGCACAATTTGTAATAATGAAATGCTAACGGACAACATAATTAATGCTGCACAAAAAATGTTGTTACAACAATACCCAAATACTAAAGGTCTGCAAGATCCTATTCTTGGACAAAACCTAAGTTTTGCAATTTTAAAAAATGAAGAGTTTGTCCAAGTGTTACATGATGGGTGTGCTCATTGGTTTGCGATCAGTACTGTAAGGTGTGAACCAGGGCATGTCTTTGTTATGGATAGTCATTTTACAGGCAAACTTAGCCATGCCACTATGAGACAGATATGTTCCATAATTCATTGCCAATTAGACAAAATAAAAGTTACAATTTTACCCGTTTAACAGCAAACAAATGGTATTGACTGCGGAATATATAGGAACCCTGACGGAACCCTAACCCTAACCCTGACTTTACAGTAGCTGTTATATTTTAAGGACTATCCGACGAAAATAAATTTTGATGAAACAAAGCTTAGAAAGGAGCTGCTTAACTCTTTCCAAAGCAACTTTTTAAGTTTATTTTCAACTTCTGAAAAGACTGCCAAACGGAATGTACAAAAGGAAATAAGTTTAGATATATACTGCACTTGCAGAATGATTTGGGTTCCATCTGATAAAAACATCTTTGGAAAGTTAGCATTTTTATCATTTTATTATGTTATAAGATTTTTATATTTATTATCTTATACAATAATAATTTTAAATAATAAAATTACATATTAATAAAACTGGCTTGAATTAAAATATAATTTGAGTAAATTTATATCATATAAAAAGTATAAAAGTAACCAATACATTAAATTAGAATGTTCATTGTTGATAGTCATTGTTGTAAATATATAAATTAAATCATTTTAAAAATAATTAGTTTGAGTTTTTTAAATCAACTACAATATAAATACGACAAAATAGCATGTTGTTACCAAATACAAGCAAGTATTTCAATCCAACCCTTATTAAATCCCTCAAGCTTGTTGATGGTTAACTATATTAAACTATATTAAAATACTTAACTATATTAAAAGTCATTATTTTAAAATGATACTTTATTTTTTAGACACATGGTTGAATGCTCAGGTTGTTTGCAGTGGTTTCACAGAATGTGTGAAAGAATTTCAGACGATGTTCTTAATAATAATGATATAAACTGGTATTGCTCCATGTGTGAAAAGATAACAAATACAAATTGAAACTTCTCTATTCCTTTTTTTTATAACCCATACTTTAAAAAATTATTTTCTTTCTGATACTTACCCTTTATATCATTAAGGAACATCTATTGGTAGTAAGGGAATAATAATGATATAATGATGATAATGATGATATTGATGATGATGAGGATGATGTTGATGATGATGATAATGATGACAATGATGATGATGATGATGATGATGATGATGATGATGATGATGATGATGATGATGATGATGATGATGATGATGATGATGATGATGATGATGATGATGATGATGATGATGATGATGATGACAATGATGATAATTTATTTTTGTGCAAATTGCATTTATTAATTCTGTTATTTATAAAAAAAATGACTTAAATCAGTTAAAAAAGTATTGCTTTATATATATATATATATATATATATATATATATATATATATATATATATATATATATATATATATATATATATATATATATATATATATATATATATATATATATATGGATATATATATATATATAAATATATATATATATATATATATATATATTTTCTGTAGACAAAAAAAGTAATCTCAATATATTTCCTCAAGAAAACACAATTCTTTGTCATGGTAAAAAAAAATTATCACAGTTATATTGTAGCAAGGAAAATTTAGCAGCATTTGGTATTGTAATAAATAAAAAAAATGTATGGTATTAAATAAATTCATGTCTAAATATTTTTAGGTTTAATAAAAGGCAAGTAATGAAACCATTTTAGGTTTCACTACATGCCTTTTATTTTATTTTTTATTTTAGTTCCTTTAAAATATTTTTAAATAATTAATGTAAACTTCCTGTTGATTGCAATTTATTGAGAGCTTTTGGTTGTTAGCAACAAATTACTGCGCCAATACCTTTAAAGCAACAGATAATTAATGGGTATTGTATTTTTACTTTTAATTGTGTTGTTGTAAATTAGAAATTGTTATTCAGCTTTTTAAAGCCTTATTCAGTTAGCAATAAATCAAATGTAATTTTTTTAATCAGCTTGATTTTTTAGAATATGAACAGTAGTACGTGTTCCCAAGATAATTGTATACAGAAACAGTTAGCAGTTGAGTCAAAATTGAATTAAATTTTTCAGGTTTGTTATGCTTCAGCTTTTTGTTGTGAAACCATTAAATCTTTTCATATTAATTATTCATATTACAATAGATAAAAATCTTTTCTTCTGACATACAAAGTCGACTCACAACTCTTGCATCTTTTGAACTACGATTACAAATGACTGCTTCAGAATGCTGGTGCTTAATTTGAAAAATATTTTCAAAACAAAATATAAGCTTGTTTCAACAAAATTATTCTGCAAATTTTTATATGATTTTACAAATGATTGGATCAATTTTCTGTAAACAAAATTATGTTTCATATGTTAAGGAGATTTTTTATTGTGCAAAATCACATTCTGCTCATATTGAGATTTATGTTTAATGGCAGTCAAGATTTAAGTAATTAATTACAAAATGAAATCGTAGAAAAGGAGGGTAGGTTATATTATATGTTTTTTTATGAGTAATTTTGGCCTTTCTTTGTGTGGTTCTTTTTTACTTATTTAGACCATATTATCAAGAACTTGTTGGTCGTACAAAACAATTTTGGCATTATAATGGTGCTATATTTGCTGTTATGTTATGGCGTTATGTTATGGTGTTAAATGTTTGCTGTTATTTTTACTGATGGTTTTGCATTAATACTTGCTGTTATATTTGATGTCACATGTGACAGCAAATATATCAGCAAAATATCATTGCAATAAATAAAAAATTTTGAAACTGGCACATTAATTTTAAAGCGTTATCACGAGATGGCAAAAGTGAAAGGAAAATGAAATGAAAGCAATTAAAATTAAGAAAAATCTGAAATAGTTATTGCTATCAGCAGTAATTTTTTTGTATTTTGTGCAGCTGGTAGGTTTATTTAATTTTAAAGATCTTGTAGAAAATGTAATGAAGTTTATCTGTTTAAATTCATTGTGTTATTGAGTATTTACAATTTAAATTGAAAGTTATCATTAGAAAACGCTCATGCATCCAGTTATAACTAAATAACGTGCATTTTATTTGAAAACAAAATCAAGTGTTGTATCATTTTAAATCAAAATCTAAAAATACCTTATAAATTTCTTCAAACTGTTAAAATAAAATTACAGAACCAAAAAGTTTGTGACTTCTTTTTTAGTATAATGGTTTGAATTAGTAGTAAAGATGATTGTCAATGATGCCAAGTTATATTTACATTGTTTTCTATTTTAGCTCACGAAACCTTCAGTTTGTCTTCTTCAATTGAAGAAGTTAATTGGAACAGCTGTTACGTAACTGCTAATAGTTTTACTGCTCTTCTTAATGTACAAAAGAGCTTATGATTCAAGCTCCACATCTTGTATCGACAACAATATATCCAACTCACAACAAGTTAGGTTTCTATCTGATTTAAATAAAGCTGACACAGCTCAATCAACTCATGCCAAAAGTTCATCTATTTTTAATAATTGTGTAGATTTTGTGGTTCCACCAAAGAAAATAACTTAGAACTCAGAAAACCAATATATGGCTGGAGAATCTTGTATGAGTGTTGCGCAGCTTCCAGTTAGACAATTATCTTCATCAGTTATACAATATACTGCATCTAAAAACATCTTCGAGACACCACGAAAGGTAATAAATTATAACTGTTCTTTTTTTTATTGTAAAACTATAACTTATAGTTATATGCTTCGTCACTTAAAACTGCATGGTATATTTATTATGTCAAACATTTTACTATGTTAATTTTTTTTTTAGGCTTTAACAGTTCTTTTTGATTCTGATGAGGTTTCTCACTAAAGGACCTTTTTTAGTATATCTACTTTGAACTTTTTACAAAAGTAAAAACAATGATATTTTTAAAGAGCACCTGAAAAATTATATTCTTCAGTATTCTCAAGTTGCTCTTCCTTCAGACAGTTGGCACTTCTTTTAAATTTTCAAAACTATTTGGAACCTTCGGTAAAAATTATTTTAATTACTCTACAATATTTGTTAGGTGTGTTTATGATGTATGCATATAATGCTTTTGTTGTTGTTGTATATATAGTTTTTTAAAGATAAATACTCCTAGGATTTGTTTTTAAGCCAGGCATCAAACATAATTAGGCAACTACGTTGGATAAAAATTAATCTAACTTTAAATGAATCTGCAAGTAGACAGTTTCAACAGGTTTATATTATAGATTCATTATCTAAAGCTGAATTAGCGCTTTCAGAAGACCAGATTATAAAGCAAAAACAGATTAAAAGCTGAAAAGAATAAAAATCATGAAATAGTAGCTGAAAAGATTAAAATCAAATCTTTAGTTATTTGTGTAGAATAGTAATGATTTAATCTGGTACAACAAAATCTTTTAAAGTATTTAAATCGCTAATTTGAAAAAGGGGACATATCCTGAAAATATTCACTTAACATGTCCTCTTTTCAAGTTAGCGGTTTATTTGGAAAATACCTGAGTTAAATTAAATTTCTAGAAATAGTAAAATTATAATTTAATTTGTTTGTTTTTTAAGTCTGATAATCTGCTCGATGAATTAAAGGTACCTGCAAAGTATGATCCGCAAGTTCTGTATAACTTAACACAATATGGCGTTCACAGTAGATCAGGGTGTGAAATGATCAACACAGAGTTACGGACGGTTAAAAAGGTTTTATGCGTTATTGTTTGCATATACTATTTGTTAGACCTCTCTTATCCATCTTCTTTTTCACAACTGATGGGTCTTTTTCATGAGGTGTTGCTAAACGAATGCTTTGAAAAAAAATCAAAAAAGACTTGCTCTTATATTGCTCATATAAACAGTTAACTAAATTTTTTGATGTCTTTAAGTAACGCTAGTTGTTTTCTTTATTAATTTGTTAAAATTTTTCATTTTATATTTAAGTTGTTACTTAAAGAACAAGTCGGGATATAAAGCTTTCATTGAAATAATTAATTTTATAAAGTTTTGAAAATGTATTTATTGACACGTTTAAAAATATGAAACCTATTTCTTAGTTTGAGCAGTTACATAAAAATTTATTAGTAGATTCTTATCATTGATATGAAATTAGTTTTTACAAGGTATATTCGCGGTGTTCTATTTACAATTATGTTAAAAGTGATTTTATTTCGTCATTGTATAATATTTTGTAATATATATTTTACGCCTTAATAATCTACATCAAACTACTACATCAAACTATTGTTATTATTTAGATATATAATTTACGCGTATAAATGGTTAGTTTAGATTTTATTTGAATAAAAACTAAACATGTTTAAAAAAATATATCGACAAATTATGCCGTTAGCTTGATTTTCGAATATAACGCCATATATAACGCCATTGGAGAGCGATATAACTGCATTTTGGTGTTATATTATTATTTAAATTTATATATCAGCATTTTGCTGATATTTAACTTAATATAATGGCATAAGGTAAAAATCTAACACCATAATGACACAAAATAACGCCATTTATGCTGTTATATCCCAATGCTGTTATACTTTTGTTTAATATAACAGCATAATATTTTAGTGTGTATTTTATTCGAGAGTTAAAATATATATTAGTAGACGTACAATAATAGTTAATAATACAGTAAGGAAGTTTTACTCAATCCGCTGTCTTAAAATAAAGAAATACTCTCTATTATTCTTACAGGCATTTAATATTTTATTTCTTTACTAGAGGTAAAAGTGAGACATTCTTATTTTCTCTAGTAAACATATAAAAAATTATTAGCCTCAATAATATTACAATAAATCATCAAATTGCGTTGTATACGTTGATGCAACATTGACTATATAAAGAAAACTATTACATATTAATTTCCTTGTTTTAAGGCAAGAATTTGCTTGGAAATTAGTTCCTTATTTCAAAAGATACTTTCCTAATGTCATATTTCAATTGGGCAAATAACCTACAAATTTTTAAACAACACATATTTACTTACTTTTTTTCTTGATTCAAACACTAAATATTATACTAACTATAAAAAATGATGTAAGATGGTAGCTTGTTGCTATAATAACCAATGAAAATAGCTGAAAATTACCAACAAAAATTGGGATTACGCTGCAAAAAAGGTAGTAAAGGAGTGAAAATGTAACTTAGCAAAACTGTTCTAAATGTGTAAACTTTTTTAAAAAGTATATATGATGAGTCTTCATAGATGAAACATGTTTCACAATACTTTGTGTTAACACAGAGTATTGTTCTCATTATGAATGATGAAACACAATGTAAAGTGAAAAAATTTTGTTAAATAATTTTTTACCAATAAATTATATTAATATTATTTTTATATATTAATAATAATTTTATTAAAACTTATTTTAATTTAAAAAAACGATTTTTTAATATTGTTGTTTACGCGTTTTGCTATTTCATTTATATAAACTTAACTTAACCAACTCCTAAATTTTAGCTAAATATGTTGTTGTTGTTAGTTTCTTGTTTGCGCCTTGATTGTCCAAAAATTCACGCAACGTTAATTAGTATTAGCATGACGTAACATATAGTTCGCATAATTAAAAGTTATTTTTATTTCCTCATCGTGGGTCATAGTATCTTTCGCTTACCTGAACCTATATACTTCTCCGTAAAAAAATCGGCCTTCGCTAATTTTACGGAAAATGAGCTGTCGCGGCCTGTTTAAGAAGGCCTTGCTTTAAAGCTAAATAAATTGCTAATATTCGCTATTATTTTTCTAACTAAATGCTTATATCTGTATTATCTATTTTCTCAAAAATGATTTAACGTGTCTTGTAAAATATAATTTTGGGGTTATTTCTTAAATAATAAAATTTGTTACTCTTAATAGTTTGATTTGCAGAAAAGTATTTCAACAAAGCATGCTATTATGGAGCTAATATTGAATAACCAAAGAGTTTGAAAAAAAAAGTTTACATCATAAATATTTTTTGATTTATCAAAAACTTTCATATCCGTCAATCACTGTGTTCTTTTGGAAAGGGTGCGGTTCAAACGATCAATATTTTTATTTAAATGAGCGGTAATTATAGATCAGTCGCCATATTCACATCTCTCCGTTAAACTAACGGAGAACTTGAGTGTCCGTTAAGAATAAACTCTAAACGGCCAGTTATAAAACGGAAGAAAATAAATGGTGTTCTATTCCTTCCGTATTGGCTCCGTTTATTAACCTCTCCGATAATTCTTTTATTTAAAATTCCTCCGTTAGCTAGCTCCGTTAACTAGTTTTCATTTTGTTTTTCTCATCGCATCTAAACGTTGCAATGCCAACAGACAATGATTTTGTTTAATTGGTGAATCGAAGCCGGTGATTTTTTAAATAATGGTTGCTGATAAATTCTCTAAATTTTATTTAAACACGCTGTAATATAAACACTAAGTTTCACTTTTTTAAACTTTATGTTTATGTTTCTTCACTCTTATGGATAAAACATTTTCAAACTCTATTTTCTTCAATTTTTGCAAACGGATCAAAATTTTAAAGCCGAGTAATTTTATTGTGACTCATTTCAATAAATCAACTTAATCGCGCCAAAGTGGAGGTTTTATTTTGCTTGTGTTTAAACTATATATTAATTTTAAAATGAGTTATTTCACGGTGTACCTTGTACTGTGCTCTTTCTGTTTAAGAAATTGACAACTTAATATTTAAAAATTATTTTACTTTTGAAAATGAACTAAGCTAAAATTTTAAGCTTAAAAAAAATAACAATATCTCAAAACCATCTAAAAATATTTAATATAAAGTTCTATACACAAAAAAATATAGATATTTTTGTAAAAAATTGTACCCAAGTTCTTTTAATTATGCTTGGTATGATTTTAACAGAGAAAGCTTCATGAAACCTCTACAGGGCTTTGTCTTAAAGCATATAAAAAGCTTTATCGGCCACCCAATCCATGTTTTGTTGCTACAATCCAGTAAAACAGAACTGCGTACATATAATACAGTGGTATTATACAATCATACAGTGTATGATTATGTAATTCAAAAACATGGATTGGAAAAGCAAAAACAAATTGGAAATATAAAAATTGTTTCTTTTGTGAGCACTTGATATTTAATTGAAAACTTATCTTTTTAAGATCATATTTTTGTAAAATAATTAATAGAGAAGGGTAGGCGAAAATCCATGCTGCTATCTTAGCCGCAGCAATTGAACTTATAAATGGAAACTTATAAAACCAAAATATGTTTCAAAAGAAAGAATTCAACTTTTTAGTCATTACTATCTAAGAGTTTCTAAAATTGGCAACAGTAAAGATAATGAATATATATATATATATATATATATATATATATATATATATATATATATATATATATATATATATATATATATATATATATATATATATATATAAATATCATCTTCTATATGCTGATGATATTATCATGTGAAAGGTGATATAATTTTAACAAATAACATTATTCTCAAAAATTTTAGCTTAATTAGAGTTTATCTTATAAGCCAATTTGCTTCAGATAAACTTTATCACACGGTGATCAGTTATTGTAATTTTTTCAAAAAGACTCGCTTCATGATCTACATTTCAATTTAATAAATATAAGAATGCATTTGAACTGAATTTAAAGTATCAATAAGAGACCAGTGCTCACAAGCCATTAGTGAAACTTTGCGCTTATTTACTTCTGTGGCAACTCATAAGTAACAATACTTCCTATTGTTATTGTTGCAAAGCAGCGAGAATCTTAAAATATAATTCTTGAAATCTGACATTCATTTGAAAACTACTTAAAATAAAATGCATTTTTATTATCTTGGGACTAAATACATATATATATATATATATATATATATATATATATATATATATATATATATATATATATATATATATATATATATATATATATATATATATATATATGTATATATATATATATATATATGTATATATATATATATATATATATATAAATATATATATATATATATATATATATATATATGTATATATATATATATATATATATATATATATATATATATATATATATATATATATATATATGTATATATATATATATATATATATATATATATATATATATATATATATATATATATGTATATATATATGTACATATAAATATATATGTATATATATATATGTACATATAAATATATATGTATATATATATATATATATATATATATATATATATATATATATATATATATATATATATATATATATATATATATATATATATATATATATATATATATATATATATATATATATATATATGGAGTGTTACAAAATAATAAAGCTAAAAAAAAAATCAACTTGTAATCTAAATTACTCCTTGAAAATAAAGTTAAAAAATCTGATCCTGAATTTAAAGAAATACTGAGAACTTGCATATACTTTTTCAATGGGTTAATAGCCAACACTTTAATTTGTAAACTACAAACTTTTAAATTTATTATTTCAATCCACTGTCTAGCAAGTAGGGTAGAGCGGAGCTAGTTGAGCATAAAGGCAAGTTGGGCAGTTAAAATATCTCAAAAACTACGCATCACATGACAAAACATCTAATGGATGAAAGTTAGGGAATTAAAATGTTAACACAATGCGCAACAAAATATTGCTGAAAAGTTATTGAGTAAGATACACGGGCACTTTTTCTATTTTTGACCAAAACAGTAACAAATAAATTTTTTACTATTTTTCTCGTGTATGCTTTTAAACTTTTTTTATCTGCCATCACTTAAGTGTTAATAATTTACCAATTTCTTAAGCTTTTGATTAAATTTGACTGTTTTTTCTTAAGTCTTCCAGTTTTTTTTAAAACAAACTAATGCGTCACCTTGTCTAGTAGGGGTAAGTTGAGCAGCTTTGAGAAAAATAAATAAAACTGAACTTTCAAACACAAAGAAACAACTTTGATATGAAATAATAGAGTGGTACATTATTTATATATATTTTTATATTTAGTAATTTTTAAATTGAGCTTCAAAGTTCAAGATAGTTGTATAAAAATATATTTTTATAATTTATGATATTATAACTATTTAACTTTTTCTTTTTTTTACTTACGTCATTAAAGTATATAAAATAAAAAGTTTATAAACTATTTATGCACGCTTACTGTTAGTAAAAGTTTTATTAATGATTCACCCAAGTTTCGTACCACCCATATTCATTTATTTGTTGATTTTTCAACTTACAGCACACTATTGTTCAACTTACCCCGCTGGGGCAGGTTGTGCAGCTCTGCAAACTTTGGGCGATATTTTCTCCAAAAAATCAAAAACTAAACTTTTTTCTTAACAAATTTTTAGCAGGATATATTATTTTTCAAATATTGAAAAAATTATGTAAATCCGACGCACCGTTCATGATATCTAATAGATTTAGTAAAAGTTGCTCAACTAGCCCCGCTCTACCCTACGCGCTAACAGTATTTTTAACTTTTACTTATTGTGAATATATGTGGTGTTACCCCACCTGGGCAAACGTTGCTGTTTTTGGCGTTAGAAATACCTAACTTCCAGACATTGTGCAAACTCCAAATATTTATATGTTTACACTTATGTCAACTTGTGCCCCTCCCCTGCCCCAAACATGAGAGCAACCAGTTGATAAAATATTTTTTGTACTATTCTTAACTATACTAATATTAATCGATAAATTATAAGTTTCATATTATAATCTTTTAGCGTTCAAAAATTATGTCAATATAAAATTTGTAACCCCCTCAAATTGAGGGGGTTAAAACTTTATATTGTCATAATTTTTGACCGCTAAAATATTTTACTATGAAGTTTAAAATTATCGATTAATATTAGTCTAGTTAAGAATAGTACAAAAATATTTTATTAACTGGTTGCTTTCACGTTTGCGGTTAGGCGGGGGGGGGGGGGGGAGGGAACACAAATTTTTGGGCTTTTTTGTTCCCAGACTCCAATCATCGCAATTTTTTGCAAAGCATCCTTGTTTAATATAAGTATAAATATATAAATGTTTGGAGTTTGCACAATATCTGAAAGTTAGCTATTTGTAACGCCAAAAAACGGCACCGTCGGCCTTGGTGTAATAACTTTTTTGAGTGATTTTGTACACCTATATTATATTTATTCCAGAAATTATAAACTTTTTTATGCTTTTTTGAGTAATTTTAATTTTTTTTTTATCGCAAAATCTCAAAATATACTTTTCACTAGTTTTCAAAGTTTGCGAAATGAGAACTTTTTAAATAATTATGCAAAAGTTGTGAAATTTTCACAGATTGTTCTTCATATTATTAAAATTCATTTGAGAAAAGATTTTTTTTCAATGCATTTTAGATCTTGAAATTTTGTTATATTAGTGTTGTTTAGGTCGCTTACTTTTTAGTGTTTCATGCATAATTTCTAAAATTTTCCATTTGTTTTCTTTAATTTTCTCTCAAATGAATTATATTACCATGATTAAAAAATGTTCCAAAGTTCATGCTAAAATGACTAGTAGATTTTGAGTAATTACTTCACAAAAATTCAATTCTTTTCAATTTTTGGGGAGTAATCGAGGCAAAGATTTTCAAGTTTGATAACATTTTTGAAAATCATTTTAAATTATGTATTTATGTTGTAAAAATGAAAGTGTGCTATATTTCTAATCAGATTTTAATATATTTCTTGGGGTACCACCTTAAGAAAAAATGCTGATGATACTAATTTATTTATGTCCAATATTAACCAGTTATTAAGCTTTAGAAAACTTGTAATAGTAAAAAAGTTAATGAAAGTTATCTTCCGATAAACTTTAAAGCAGCGAGTTTTAAAGCTTCTAATAAACTTTTTAAAATCTCTGTTTTTAGGCTTATAGTACTAATTTTTTATTTATTTTCAAAAGTAAAATTTCATTATTTGCATTGTTAGAATGGACTAAAAATCCTTATCATTTTACTTTTTGAAAAAAACTTTTTTTTTCTTTAATAAAAAAGTAAAAAAAAGTAAGATCTGATTTAAATTTTTATGTTACAACAAAATAAAGCATTAAATCAAAATAATATTTTAGCGCCATGTTGGAAATGTTAGTATTACCATGGGAGTATTTTAGTCCACTAATAATTTTTTTGATATATAAGTTTTATTTGGCCAATTAAGTTTTATTAGGTCAATTAAGTTTTATTGGGTCAATTAAGTTTTATTAGGTCAATTAGGTTCCTTTTTATTATCACTTTTAACAAGTATCTAAAAAATGCATTTTGCGAGTAACGATTTATAAGATTCTTTTTAAGTGTTTAATATTTCCGAAATTATTTTTGTACAATAAACATTTTTTTCAAAGTTAAAAATTTTTTATTCATTCCATCTGTTCATTTACAACGAGAAATTTAAGTTGTTGTATATGAAAATTTTGTTATAAAAGTTAAATTTAAATAGTGTGTATATATATATATATATATATATATATATATATATATATATATATATATATATATATATATATATATATATATATATATATATATATATATATATATATATATATATATATATATATATATATATATATATATATATATATATATATATATATATATATATATATATATATATATATATATATATATATATGTATGTATGTATCTATGTATGTATGTATGTATGAATGTATGAATGTATGTATGAATGTATGTATGTATGTATGTTTGTATGTATGTATGCATGTATGTACTATTTTAAATTAGTAATACTCTCTTTTGGAATTTTTTAATTGAATTATTTCTTATTACTCTAAACTAATAAGTTGGTAAGTTTGAAGGGAAACAATATATATATATATATATATATATATATATATATATATATATATATATATATATATATATATATATATATATTTTTTTTTTTTTTTTTTTCTCAACACATTTTCTTAACATTGTTTTAAAACAATTATATATACTTAGTTGATTTTTAATATTTATTAATTTAATTTTTTAAACAGAATTATTGTTTTTCGCATTTACATCTTGCTTTTTATATTTTAAGCTTTTAGTCTAACTTCTCAAGTCTCTATAATTGAGTTTTATGCATATAATCTTTTTTAAACGAGAATATAAAATGTAAAATTTAAAAACAATAAAACTAAACTTTGTTTAAAATAATAATGAAACAAAGAAGAAAAAAAATATAATAGCATTTTTTCGTTTAGATTTCTGTGGAGGAGTCACAAAAAAAGGAGAGAAAGAGAAAATTTGTTAATTGTTATTCATGTTTTAAGTATAACGTAGGTAAACAATGTTACCGTAAAGTTTATGGATGAATACAATCAGCTAAAGATTTTGGGAAAAGGTTCCTTTGGATGCGTATGGTTAGTCAAGAGCAATAAAACAAATATTAACTTTGTTATTAAAGAAATATCAATCACAGGTTTGAAGGTATTACTTTTTCTTTTAATTTATTTTCGCCGTTTAAGAGCAATTACAATATCAAATTATATATAGAGATAAAAAGTTAAGATGACAAGGAAAAAAGAAGACTATAGTTGCTTGATCACTAAACTATGTAATATAATACACCGTACATTGCGCCGCTTATAAAAACCTTAAAAACAATGTGTTTTGCTTCATGCGGTTTACATTGCTCATGTTTATTTTTATTTTAGCTGCATGAACAAGAGTCAGCAGTTAATGAAGTTAAAATACTGGCAACACTTCGTCATAAAAACATAATTCGCTATCAACATGCTTTCATTCAAGAGGCAAAATTATGTATTGTTATGGAATACGCTGATGATGGTAAGAACCTATAACCAAAAAATTAAATTCTTCATAACACTTGTTTTTAACGTTTTTTTAAAACTGATTGCCTATTTTATATTTAAATTTAAATTAGTAGGGTAGTTTATATTTAAGGTAGTTATATTTAAATTTAAATTAGTAGGGTAGTAGGGTAGCGGGGCTAGTTAAGCATAGGGGCAAGATGGGCAATTAAAATATCTCAAAAAATATGCATCACATGATAAAACATCAAATGGATGAAAGTTAGGGAATCAAAATGTTACCACAATGCGCAACAAAAGATTGTTGGAAAGCTGTTAACTAAGATACAAGGGCACTCTTTCTGTTTTGTTAACATAAAAAAAACTATTTTGGACCAAAAAAGTAAAAAAAAAAGTTTTTCTATTTTTCTCTTAGGTGTTTATAAATTTTTTTTCTGGAATCACTTAAGTGTTGATATTTTAACAATTTATCGGACTTTTTACGATTAAAATTGTGTGGCCGTGGCGCAGTGGTTAGAGCACTTGCTTTTTAAGCGGGAGATCCAGATTCGAAACGAGCTTTGGACATATTTCGCGTCACGGTAAGGAAGGAGGCGTGAACGCCTTGGTTAAATGCACTTCCGCGGTGCTCTGTGACACGACCGTTAGGACTTCTTGGGGCACCTAAATAACAAGTTAAAAAAAAAATTACCTGTTTTTTCCTATGTCTTACTGTTTCCTTTAAAATTTAACTAATGTCACCTAGTTTTAGTATTGCGTTTATAATCGGAAATCTATACTTTTTCAAGATGCAGTTGAAAATGCAATATTTCTAGTTGGAGTATTTTTGAACAATTTTTTTTATACTCCAAACACAACTTTAGTTATTATACTACATGTAAATTCTTCAAATTCATTTTGAGTTTTTATATTCTGAATACATCTCTAGTTTTCATTCGTTTTCAAATTTATTAATTTTTTTTAACTTTTTCGCTGATTAAACAATATTATAATTTTTCATATAATATAAATAACATTGTTAACATAAAAAACCTTGATAAAAAACGTTTTTAATTTTTTTTTTAATTATATATATATATATATATATATATATATATATATATATATATATATATATATATATATATATATATATATATATATATATATATATATATATATATATATATACTGTTATAAGTACTGTCAAGGACTCAAAGAAGGTAAGGATGATGCGTTTATCATCACAACCTTTTCATAGAGCCCCTTTAGTCACTCATTAAAAAAAACACTTTAATTTTTAAAGTAAAATAAAAATTCAAATTCAATAAAACAAACTCATTTTTTTTTTTTTTTTTTTTAGTGTAAGAAATTGAACAAAAAAAATATTAAAACAAATAAGAAGAAAAAAAAAAGAAGACAAAAAAAAAAAAAAAATTTAAATCTGAAAAATACTGTAAACTATACTATATATGCATCAGGAATTAAAAAGATGCATTTTAGTTCGTTTAAACGATGAAATACTTTTTAGGTCTACAATTATTTACAACTTTTTTTTGTTGCTTAATGCCATTAACAAATTAAAATAACCAAAAAATTTTTTCTTTCAGGTGATTTATCGCAAAAAATTAAACTACAAAATGGAAACTTATTTTTAGAGCTGGTCAGTACTTTTAATTTTTTATTTTTTATTTTTGAAACTGGTTAGCATTTTAACTTTTTCTTTTACCTTGAACCTTGGTCGGTACTTTTATCATTTAAATAATTTTTGTTGGAGCTGGTCAGTTCTTTTACTATTATAGTATTTTTTTTTGAAGCTGTTCATTACTTTTATTATTATAACATTTTTTTGGAGCTGATTAATTCTTTTATTATTAAAATACTTTTTTTGGAGCTAGTCAGTACTTTTATTCAATCTTAGTAATGATTTTACATATTTTAAGCATGATGACTAGGTTGAGTTGAGAAATCGAGAAAAATGAAAATAGTTTGTTGTTTTGTATAACACTCCGTGCAACATATCAATATTAATACGAATTTTTGCATAAATTTTTGAATCTATGCAAATTGTGCATGCACGAAATTAATGCTGATGGACATTGTTTCATGAGAACTGGACGTTAATTCGTGTGAATTAGTGCCGATGGACGTTATTTTATCAGAATCAGACGTTAATTCATGTGAAAATAGTGCCGATGGACATTATTTCATGTGAATTAGTGCCGAGGGGCACTTTTGCATAATACAAAGCTTTTTATTTTCTCTAGTAGGAGAATGCTTGATTAATTGGTCAAGTTGAACAGTAATATAAATAAATGTAAAATATTAACTAATAATAATTCAACTTATATTTATAAAATAATTTTTTCTTTTAAATTTAATACCTATTAAGTTTTAAAAAATTTTAACAATTTAATTTGTTAGCAAATCATTGACTGGTTTGTCCAAATTCTAATAGCAATAAAGTATATACACAGTCTAAACATTCTTCATCGAGGTGAGTCATACTTGTTATTGTTGGATAATAAAAATATTGTATAAATTGACGAGTGATACATAAGAGTGATACGCGTTAATAACTTTAAATACTCGATTATTTTGTGTATGAAAACTAACTTACAGAGAAAAGGCAAACATCAAACCTTTGTAGGCTCATACTTGTGTCAAATTAAAATGTCTTAGAAAACATAAAAGTTAATGGAACTTGCGACCAAAAACTAATAATAAATCTTTCTCTTTCCTGGGTTATAGCCATATAAATGCTTCTGGTTAAAAGAATGTTGTATTATACAAGTACGACAAAAACTCATTAGCATGTTTTACATTTTATCTTTTAGATTTATATTTTGGCGCTCAATCTTCAAAATTGTATAACGTTTGCAGTCCTAGTATTTGTAAAGGTGACTTTACAATGGGCATAATAAAATACAAAATGTTATCTTTTGAACTTTATAAAATAATTATAAATCATTTATTAAATTATTAGAAAATGATAAAACATTTACAAAAATATCAAGAAACGTTTATTTAACAAGAATAAGTCTTATTATTAGGAGATTCAAAATGATAAGTTTGTGATTTGATTAAAGATCTACTTTTAATTTAAAATCTTAAATTTAAAAAAATTTATCTTTACACTTCCGTATAAAGAAAACTTTATAAATAATCAAAAAGACATTCAATAATACTAAATCAAAAGTCTAAATGAACGGGTAACCTAAAATAAATTACTCACCCCAACTTAAATCAGAATACCCCACCAACTTAAAGTAGACTACCACACCAACTTAAAGTTGATTGCTGCCAAATTAAAATAAATTACCCCACCAATATTTTACAAAAACGTTTTTACTTATTACGCATTTTTTTTATAAACAATATTAAAAATTTTTTTCAATGAATATTTTTTTCAATCCTAAAAATGGAGTTCCTAATTGTGAAAAGTAGTCATATATTAAATACATCTATTTTAGAGTCTAATAACTACTTTGTTAGAACCTAAAAGTAAAAGTATTTGTAACTTTTTAAGATACTAAAATAAATATCTATCTTTAAATATCACTTTTACAAGTGATATTTAAAAATTTTGCTTTATAACTATTACTACAAAAAAAAAAATGTTTACATAAACAATTTCTCAGCAATGTTGTTTGGTAAATAATTTCTAAAGTTTTTTTTAATTATGTAGTTTATTTCTTATTTTATGTAATTTATTTCATAGTTTTTATAGGCTAAGTTAATGTCAAATGGTTCAGATGGGTCTATAATAATATTCGTTAAAATTAAAATAGTTCAAATAGGTTAATTGTTCCGATAGTTTAGCAAAAATACTCGATAAAGTTGACATTTTTAAAGACTTTTAAAATAGAATAATAAACAAAATTATCCATAGTTGATGTATTGAGCATTTTAATAAAATAAGGGTTTAAAAATCAAATTTTGAAACCTGAAAAGGCCAAAAATAACGTAGTGAAAAAAAAATATATAGCTCCGGTTTATTAAAATTATTAAAGTATCCCAAATTTTACAATTCACGAACTATACTCAAGCGGAAAATATAAGAAGACTTTTCAGAAAAATATGAAAAAAGAGCTATACAGTCTTTTTGAATAAAAGCTGATTGTTTGAGTCTTTTGCTCGTTTTTTTACTTAATTCATTTATTTTAGATTTACTATATAAACTCTATTATTGTCCAACTTACCCAGTGGGAAATCGGCTAGCGAATATCTAGCTATAATCGTAACGATAAAGACAGCGATTTGGCCACGAGGATCGCTAGCTTTTTTAAGTTAGCGAAAAGCTATCAATATTTGTAAAGATAAAGACAGACATTTGGTTAAGAGGACAGCTAGCTTAATAAGCTAAAGACCCACGGGCTATTGTAGCTAGCGTCATATCGTAATAAAGTCGTTGTCTAAAAAAATTTGATATGTAGCTATCAACCAGCTATAGATTTGTAGATATTTTGTAGCTAGCTACAAAGCTACGATATGTAGCTAGCGACACATTGCTACAAAATCGCAATGTTTAAAGTTCGATTATCCTCAAAATTATAATAGACTCAACACTAAAAATCGAGTTTTTAAAGATGTTAAAGGCATTAGGAAATAATAAACCCAGCCGGCATTTGGTCTTAAAAAATATCTTTTGAACGTTCAAAAGACGTCTTTTTAGAAACAAATGCCAGCTGGGAAGGTTATACTTGCTAAATCCCTAACTGTTTATACAAATTTTGTTATTACGTTTAATTTATTTATATATGGATATAAAAATAATATAAATAATATAAATAATTTATAAAAATAATATAAATAATTAACCAAAATAATTTTGAAATGTTTTTAGAGCTATGTTTGATAAAGAGAGTCTTACTCTGTTTATCAAACATAGCTCTGAAAACATTTTGTTATTATTATTATTATTATTTAATTAAACATTATCTGTAAATACGTTTACAAGGTAAAAATACATAAAAAATAGTTTAAGGTATATAAAGAGAGAATAAAAGAGATCACTTGGGAATGTTTTCTTCAAGAAAGAGTATTTTTTAAAATTGTTCGCTGTTGCTTTGTATTGTAACATTGACCTACAACAACCTACAAGAATTTGATATTCAGGAATTATATTTTGCTGAAATATTAATTTTCACTTTCTTCTTATCCTGAATTAAGTTTTTCATATTTAGTTTATGGATCTTACATAATTTCTTTATGTCATCTAAAAATAAATATTTTGCAGAACAATAGTTTAGCTGAGAATTGATGATTTTAAAAGTTACTTTATTATTTAATAAATGGATAAATAGGTTTATTTTATTTTGGTGTATATAAGTCGATATCTCCCGAACTTTAAATAGAGAGTTTATATTATTTTTGCTAAACTTGGAGATATTAAAAAATGACTTAACTGCATTTCTTCCAAGTTTATTAAGTCTTTTCATTGTCGACTCTCTATTTTCACAGAGTTCCATACCATGCGTTAGCGTCGGAACTTCTTATCCAGTTATATACATCTTTAGATGTTTTGGAACAGTTATCCAATTATATACATCTTTTAGATGTATATAATTGGATAATTGAAGATGGTTGTACAAACCGGATACCAGATTGAATTAAAGTTTCCACTGTTGTTTGAAAATTTGATATCCTATTATTAATATTTGTTCTGTTGAGTGAGGCAAAAATTATACTACTAAAATATTACTTTTTTGTTGAACAAAAAAATAATAATAGTTATTAAAAAATTTTTTTAATAACTTTTTTAGTTTTTAATTATTCTATTACAATAACACTACACGATTAGACGATGGAAGAGTTAGGTCGTGCGGCCGTGGCAGTTACAGCATTTGCTTTATAAGCAGGAGATCCAGGTTTGAAACGAGCTCTGGATATATTTTCGCGTCACGGTAAGGAAGGAGGCGTGAACTTCCTTGTTAAATGCACTTCCCCGATGCCCTATGACAAGACCGTTAGGTCTTCTTGGGGCACCTAAATAATAAACAAACAGAAAATAAAAATAAAAAAAAGGTGTTAAGTTGTCTCTCAAGTATTTTTTGTGAAACAAGACTCGTAACTTAAGTATTTTGCAATTTTGAAAATATTATCTACAATTAACAAGAAGAAAAATTGAGTTTTCTAAAAACGTATTTTTTGTATGTAGGAGTATTTCTGTTTGGAAGATGAATGTTATTAATAAAAGAAAACATAAATTTTTATAGGTAACAAATGTATATTAATTGTGATTTTATATATTTTGCATTTTTCCAAAGTGCAAATATAAAAGTATTAGTCAAAATGAGATAACTTTGTGTTACTTTTGCAAAATTTGCGTTCAAAATTAAAGAGATTTTCCAAATATAAGTCCTTTATTTTAAATCAGTATCCAATTAATTAAAGCTTTTTGAGGCACATTATTTTTGAAATCGTCATTTTTTATGAGTTTAATTAAAAGATTAATTATTTAATTGGATAGTGAAATTAAACAAATGACCCAGACACAACACAACTAGAAATAAAACAAATTTCCCTTAATTGTATTTTTTGCTGCATTTAGTTATACTTTCTAAATATGCAAGTTAAAGGATATTTTCATTTTTTAGCATTGCTTTTAATTTTATATCAGATTGTTTCTGGTGGGTTAAACATTGAATTGGATGATCCTAAATGTAACAGCTGCGCTGATTAGGTTTTAAATACACATTTCAAATAAGTATGATAAAGAACATTAACTGTTAACACAAAGAAACCCTTTAAGCTATTTTTGGATGTTACCCAATGGTGAAACATAGCTAACACCCACTCGTTTCAAGAATCTGCGTTAAATAATCTGCGAGTTTCTTAACAACATTTGTTGTCGATATAGCTGCAATCAAATGTATGTTTGAATCTTTTGAAGCTGGTATTTTCATTATTGCCCTTTTATCTTTTCTGGGGCGTCCTTGCATTTTTCTACAAAAACAAAAAAGCTTAAAACTTGTTTTACCCGACTAGAAAATTCGATGACCATTTGTGATATGTTCGTTTGCGTTGGTAATTGCATTCTTTTTGTTGATGCATCTAACATATTCAACTCCAAATTGTTTCCCTTCTTGGTAGTAGACAACGGTTTTCGTGTTGACGCTTAAGTTAAACTACCATAATCTTTTTTTTGATGGCCACCAGCATTAGTTGGCAGTAATTTTTAATCCATGTTTGCGTTAATTAAATTTAACCTTTTTTTAATTATTTTGACCTAAAACAATCTTTTTTGATGACATCCTGCAATCGACTCAAATGCAGTGTGTTATATTGTCGTGAAAAGCCAAATCACAGAAACTTTTAGTGTTTTTTGTAGTATTTTTTTTTTTAAATGTAGCATTTACAGTAAATCTGCACGGTTTCATATAATCTGGAGCATAAATTATGCACTGTTTTTATATTACTGACCTAAAAGACTGTAACTTTTTATTAAACTATGTTTGTAAAGTTCAAAACATTAAAACGTTATTTCAAGTTATTGTGTTTTGGCTTTACACGACAATATAATATAAAATAAAATTTAGATGTCAAAAGTATTTTGGGTATAAAAATTGCGCTAAATATTTTATCTTACGAATTTTAAATTTATATAATAAATTTGGGATAAGTACATAAGAATCATTTTAAAAAAACAGTTTAGAGGATCAAAAAAAACTATATCTTATGGTGACAAGTAGGATTTTTTACTTTTTTACTTTTTGTTTTTTATCACATTTTAAACAACATTTTGTTATAAAATATATAACTTACAAGACAAAATATAAAAATATAATATAAACTACTAGTAAATTTTGTTTATAAAAAATAAACGAGCGCGGGGACTGGTGGTCTTATCGTTGAGCTAAATATAAACGTGTTAAAGTTGGGTAGGTACAATCGGCGGGGAGGGGCGGATCAGCGGGGCGGATCATTTTAACGGTACAAACGGTGGGGCGAATAATTTAAACGTTGCTAACATTTTATAATGCAAGTCATACTTCATTAAATAAAATAAAAAAAACTTTTTTTTTTTTTTTTTTATTTAACAAGTATTTTTTATAGATTCAGATATAGTTTAAGTTCATTAAAGAAATAATATTTAAAAGGTATTTGCAAATTATAGTTTTAATAAACGACGAAAAAAATTATATAATTTTAAAATCATTTTTACAAAAAACAACGTGATCAACCAATTAATATAAAGTGATCTGCCAAACTTTATGTAGTAATTCGCCTAATATTTTGACTTTATATATCAAACTTTTTAAGTTTTAATGATTGTTCAACCAAAAAACAACGTGATCCGCCATTTATCCGCAGTTTATATTTATTTATATTATAAATTGGCGGATCACGTTGTTTTTTGGTTGAACAATCGTTAAAACTTAAAAAGTTTGATATAAGCAGTCAAAATATTAGGCGGATCACTATATAAAGTTTGGCATATCGCTTGATATAAATTGGTGGATCCCGTTGTTTTTCGCAAAACAATCATTTAAATTTAAAGAGTTTGATATTAGCAATCAAAATATTAAGCGTATCACTATATAAAAGTTGGCGGATCACTTGATATCAATGGCGGATCACGTTGTACATGTGTGGGAAAATCATTAAAACTTTAAGAGTTTGATTTAATCGATCAAAATATTAGGCGGATCACTTTGTAAAGTTTGGCGGATCACTTAATATAAATTGGCGGATCACGTTGTTTTTTGGTAGAACAATCATTAAAACTTAAAGAGTTTGATATAAGCAATCGAAATATTAAGCTGACCACATCATAAAGTTTGGCGGATCACGTTGTTTCTTGGTAGAACTATTGGTAAAACTTAAAGAGTTTGATATAAGCAATCAAAATATTAGGCGGATTACTATATAAAGTTTGACGAATCACTTAATATAAATTGGCGGATCACGTTGCTTTTTTGTAAAAATGATTTTAAAAATATATAATACTTTTCGTCGTTTATTAAAATTATAATTTGCAAATACCTTTTAAATATTATTTCTTTAATGAACAAAAACTATATCTGAATCTATAAAAAATACTTATTAAATAAAAAAAAAAATAAAGTTTTTTTTTATTTTATTTAATAAAGTATGACTTGCATTATAAAATGTTAGCAACGTTTAAATTATCCACCCCACCGTTTGTACCGTTAAAATGATCTGCCCCGCTGATCCGCCCCGCCCCGCCGATTGTACCTACCCATTAAAGTTATCTATGACAAAAGAAGTATTAAAATTTTAGATTGCAAATAAAATACAAACAAATAGAAATTTGACAGTTTTTGTTCAAATATTAAAAAAAAAGCATTTATACTTAAATAATGAAGGATTAAAAATCGAAAGTTCATAAGTCGTCGTTTAACTGTTTTTATTATAAAATATATAAAATGATTTAAATATATAAAAATAAACGGTGTTAAAAATAAAAATAAATGAGTACAATTAATTCTAAAACTTATAAAGTTTAAGTCGATAGTAAAAGGAGGAGTTACTAAATTTTATTGAAAATTAATAAATTTTTACATTTGTAAAAATATATATTTTTAGTTTAAATGGTTGAACTTTTTTTAGTTTAAACTGTTGAATTTGTTTTTATAAAATTTTTTTGCTGCATGCATTAAAAGATGTGGGCGCCCACATTTTTTAATGCGCGTATTAATGCATCTTTTAACGCGGTTTGAAAATACCCGCCTTCCCCCCTCCCCCCAAAAAAAAAACTTTGTTAAAAAATTGCGCTTGCTAAAATCTATTAAATTTGATTTTTTTAGGTATTAAACTCAACATAAGTACTTCTTATAAATCTATACTGTTAAATTTGATTTTTTTAGATATTAAACTAAACATAAGTATTTCTAATAATAATAGCGTAATTTTTTTTAAGATATCAAATCGCAAAACATATTTCTGACAAAGACAAGTTTAGTGAAAATTGGAGATTTTGGAGTCTCACGTTTTCTTAATGGAAGTTTACATCAAGCGCAAACAGCTATTGGGACACCTTTCTATTTATCTCCGGAAATTTGCCGAAGAAAACCGTAAATTCTTTATATTTAGTTTTTTTCTAATTTTAAATTTAAACTACTTATTAAAAAAATCTCAAAGCAGCAATGTCCGTAGAATTTTTTTAAATTTCCATTGTCATAACACCACAAACAAAAGTGCTTAACACGACTTTAAACGTAAAAAGAAGTATTTGAGAGCATTATAGAGTTAGAGAAATAACATAAAAAAATATAACCTTAAACTTCAAACCAACTTTAAAATCATGTTCATAAAACACAATTTACAAAATAACAACTCTAAAACCACAACCCTTAGGCTTTTTTTTTTTTCGACACAAATTTAATCAAGTCGTAAAACATAATATAAAAATAAATAGCAGGGGCAAGAAGAAGACATAAGTTCTGTTATTACCAAGCCCCTTAGTCTATACCGTAAACATAAAATAACTAAAATTAAAGAACGTAACACTATATAAAATAAAACGTTTTTCTAAAGACTAAAATATATTAAAATCATAGTTCTCAATGTCCTACTTTACCTTTTAGTAACAACCATTAATACTTCAGAAAAAGCTGAGCGTTTATCAATAGTTTTTGCTTCATTTTGTTCTTAAACTCATTAAGCGTTGCAATTGTTTTAAGTTCATTAGTTAATATTTTATTCCATTATTTTGGTCCTCAAGTAGAAATTGAAAATTCAGTCGCCGCAAAATAACTTTTGGGTTGAATGCAACTGTTATTTGAGAATCTGGTTAGATATCTGTTCTGATTTATTTTGAATAGCGGGTAGAATATTTTAAGATATATGTAAAACCATAGCCTTAATACCATATTGCTGTAATCAGGACCTTAAAACCATAACTTTTAAACCATGTCTTTAAAACCACAACTCTATAACCACTGCCTTAAAAGCACAAATAATTATTTTAATATTAAAACTAATAAAGTTAGAGCTAGAAATAAAAAATTGTTGCTCAAGCTCCCACGTGTAAGATTGGAACTCGCAAAAAAAGATTTTTATTATATGGGTAGAAAACAATTCCAATAAATTTACCAACTTTAAAATCATTATAGATAAACATTTTAAATATTGAACTTTCTATCTCAGATTTAGTTTATTTATCATATTATTTGTTTATATATATATATATATATATATATATATATATATATATATATATATATATATATATATATATATATATATATATATATATATATATCCATGTTAGTTTTTCTATTTAATTTTAATTTTTTTGATAACAATAGTTTTAATAATAATTTAATAATATGATTTAAACTTGTTTTTTATCTCTGTTTTCATCACTGTTTATAATCGTCCTTTTTTTTTCATTATTCTCAGTTTTAGCTTATTTGGGTTTTTGACATCTGGTTAATTTTTTTTTATTAATTTTATTAAATATTATAAGATATTGTAACTCATAAACTAATTAAATTTTTTTTATTAAAAGTATTAAATTTATGTAATATTTATTTGTTATGTTCCGCCGTATAGTAAATCACTAATATACAACAATAATTAAGACTTCATATTCTATCTTCAGAAGAGTTACCACTTCGATGCTTGCTCTGGCTGTATATGGCTTGAGCAGAAAATGAACTGCTCAAGCATAAACTTGTTTGTGCTCTGTTAGGTCTTTGCAAAGCACCTTAATAACCAGTAGAGTGATTTTATTTTGTGTGCATGAACCACAAATTAATGATAATAAACTTTTAATAAGCAAGTTATAAGTTTGTTTGTTTTGTAGATATTATTGGTTACTGGTTTGGCATTGCAAGCAGAAATTGGTCAAGTCAAGAATAGTCTTATGTATTCATAATAAAGAATGATTCTACTTATCATTATTATTTTTGACTAAAATAACTTACGTTTACTATGTCAAATTAGGATCTAAAAATGGTCTTAAAGTAAACAAACTTATGATTTGTGCTCTATGTAGATAAAAAATATCAATTGCAATTGTATTAGCTTGTTAACAAGCTAATACAATTATTTATTTAAAGTTAAGATGTTTACTATGTTTACTTTATTTAGTAAATTTTATTGTTAACTGCATTATTTATTGCATTTTAATTAAAAATTGTTATTTTACGGCGTTCTCTTTATTTTTGAATACTATTCAATTCAGAAAATCTTTACCATATTTTTACAGTTAAAATAAGGTAAAATTTGTTATGATAAAATCTGTTTTAATATTGTTAGGTTTTAGCGAAGCACTTTAATAATGGCAAAAAATATGTTGCAGTGATATTTTGTATCTGCATAGAAAAAATTTGCATCTGCATAGAAAAAAATAAATTTTATTAAATTATTAGCTCTCATTGGAATCATCCTAATGAGAGCTATTAACTTAATAAAATTTATTTTTTTAATGTCTATAATAATAAACCTGTTTTAAATAACAAGCTGACAAAAATTAAATTTTAAATTGTTTTAATTAACAAGCTCACTTCTCCGTGCACTTCCACAAACTATAGACGCATCAGTAATGTATTTTTTTTATAACGCCCATAATTTTTGATATTTGCTTACAAAGGCCACAGTAATTAGCAATAATGATTTGTAATGATTTTAAAAAGATTCTTACTTTTAGGTTTTTGTTTGAGCATTAGTCAAATTAAATTCACTTATCTACAAAATTTAATTTAAGATACAACAACAAGAGTGACATGTGGAGTCTAGGTGTACTACTATATGAGCTCTCTACACTCAAACATCCGTTTCAAGCTGATGACTTTTCCGGCTTAGTAATACAAATAATACAAGGAAAATATCAACCCATACCAGGGTAATCTCTTCATTAATTTTTTGAATTCTATTTTTTTTTTAAATTATTGCTTTACTAAAACTGATTCTAAAATAATTTTGTTAAATAGATGTTATGGACCACTTCTCCACGATTTGCTGCTTGTACTACTTCAGGTTAGACCTACCGACAGACCTACTGCTTCTCAATTACTTAAAATCCCATCACTTCAGCCGCACGTTGAAAGTTATTTAAGACGTGTGAGACATAAAGAGGCGCCAGTTATTCTGGATTTGTCGCTATCGCGCAGCTCACTAACGGAGCAGGATTCAACCGTTCAACTAAACGTTTGTAAGAATATTCTGTATGAGAATATCAGGTGCCATTCCGAACGCACAAGTAAACATACAGAAGCGTGCAAAAAACAATCTAGGACTGAATCGTTGAATTCAAAAGAAAATGCTATTCAATTTATTCAAAATAGTTGTCAAAATGAAAAAATAGAAAATATAGAATATTCTAAAGAAAAAACTCGAACAAAAAGTTTGATAAACAGAAAAACACCGTTAAAAACTGACAACATGGATTTTCTCGAAATTAAAGATAAAATAAAACCGGCTACCTATAAAGACTTTACTGAAAATTTTACGAGTCCAGAACATAATAACCAAATCAATAAAACCTATAACAAATATTCAATACTAAATAAAACAAAAACCATTATTAATGAAGCGAAAGCAAAAAATTTAAAGACTGAAACAAAAGAAAAAACTGCAAAAAATAAAAGTTCTACAAAAAGTAAATCGCCTAAAACAAATTTTATTGAAAGAAATCGAAACATAGCTTTGTCTTTGTCTTCAACAAAAAAAGATATTAAAAATGGCTGTTCAGAAAACACAGCAACAAAAAAAAAAGTACTTTCACCAACATTAACACCATCAATCCAAAAGTCACCACATTTCAAATGTTCAAATACATTAGAAAAAAAAAATCATTGTTATTTAAAATACGGAAAAGAGCCATTTAGATTACAAGAATATGATAATTCACCAAAACGTTTGCCATCTTTCAACAGTCGAAAATTAGAGTATTGCGACAACTTTGAGATGATTAACCAGCCTAAACAAAAAGGTCAAACAGCAGATTTATTTGAGAAAAATCGACAGAAAAAAATTGCAAGTAAATTAGTTGGCTACTCGTTAATAAACATACCAACCTCTTGCGAAAATAACGACTTAAATATGAAAACCCGTCCTCCAATTTATAGAAGTCAAACAGATATAATGTACGAGAATGCACAACAACGCAAAACGATTCTGTCAGATGGTTTAAAGCTTGCAGACAAGATAAAACTAAAAATAAGCAAACGTCTGTCCAGCGCCAGTGATGCTTCAAAGAATTATCACAAACTTTGCAATGATAATGAAGAATTAAGCAAAGAATCAAGAAAAGTTGCAAAGGTATTAAATCAAATGATCTTTAAGTAACATATAAAGATAATTTTCTACTTTAAATTTCTTGAATTGTGATAAAAAGTATTTTTATCTAAGAAGATTCCGACAAGCCGTGACAGCGCAATTGATGATTTAAATCCTGTTCATTCAATTACTTTAACTGAAAAATCAGTAAGTAGTTTTTTTTATTAAAATTATAATGTAACTGGGTAAAACGTAAAAGGTAAAGTTAAACGGTTTATTTTTTGATTTAATTATTTTTGTTACAAAAAATGGATTATGACCTCGCCTTAAAATTTTTTATAGTCCTTTGAAGCACTTTTCATAAAAATTGCATAAATTATAATATCTCAAGCTGTTGCTTTGCTCAACAAAACAGGTTTATAAAAAAACATTAAAATGCATTGGCACCCGCAATTTTTTTTTCTTCTTTTATTCCATGAACTAGCATATTTTTTTTTTGCATATAACAACAAAACTAACTAACTTTTTTGCATATCACAACTAAGTTGCACTACAAGTCGTGAAATCGTAGCTTTTTAGAATACTTTGAATTTAAATACATGGATAAAATATTTTTCGAAGTACAGCCTATAACTTTGATTGTGCTGCTCGGACTACACAGTTGGAAAATATTTTGGAGGTACTGCTCGGAAGAAAACTACAAAGTTGGAAAATATTTTGGCGGTGTTGCGTGAATTAATAATAAAAAAAAAAATTTAAAGAATTTGATACTTAAATTCAAATAAAATGTTTAAACATTGTAACTTTGATATGACGACATTATCTTGAGTTTATTAAGGTCATGCGGTTAACTTCTATTTTAATCATTGTCATTAGGTGTTTACTTAGTTTAGTTAGTAGTTTATACTATTTTTTTAAACAACCTTTAAATGTAATACCTTTAAATGATTAAGATATATATATATTTATATATATATATATATATATATATATATATATATATATATATATATATATATATATATATATATATATATATATATATACATATACCGGGGCACAAAAGCTCTCGGCGGCCCTGTATATATATAGCGTTAAGCAGGCGCCCCTTTACGCATACATGATTTTTTTTTTAAAAATTATCGAATTCATTCGTGCATATATATGACTGTACAGGGTTTTAAAATGAATTTTCTTAATTGTGGTTTGTTTCTGTTAAAATCAATTTACGGCAAAATTTTCAAAAAATGCGTCTATAAAATATACAACTAAGCAACGCCAATACAACATAAAGTGTATCATTAGACATTCTTTAGAAATTAAAATAACAAAAAACGACCTACATAAAACACTATTTTCTTGCTTTTTTACCGGCAAAATTTATTATTGTATCATCATATGAAAGAGTCTTAGCCAACTCATTTTTCTCTTCATTTTTCATCTCATGAGATGAAAGACGTTCTTGTCCCAAAGTGGGCCTACAATAATTCTTTATCAATTTTAGCTTACTAAAGGATTGTTCACCCTCTGCAAAAGATACTGGCATTGTATTAAAAATTTGAATTAAGATGCATACGTATAAAAAAAAACAGGCTGCAGACTCTTTGAAAGTATTTGGTTAAGAAGGCTCAATGAGTTTTTAGGAATAAAACACGAAGACTCCTTCAAACAATTAAGATGCAAAATTTCTTGTATGAAGTTTTTTCTTGACATCAATAGCGTAGAACTGTGCTAATTCACGAGCTTTGATCTCTTGAGAATCTGGTTCCTGGTCTTTCAGCCAGATAAATGAGAACCTTAAAGAAACACTCTTTACTATAGAAAATCTCGACTGAATTTGATAAATAAAATGATCAAGAGCAACGTAAAAGATGTTTCCCTCAAGTTGATGATCGGGGCTCTGATGCAGAAAGCTGCATTTTCAAGTTCATTGTGATACCGCTTCACTCTTTTCTTTCGTTTTGCCAACAATTCCGTTTCAAAGCCTAGAGGATCTGCAACAGCTTTCGCTTTAGTCAAAATATTATTCCATGATGAGCGGATGCGGCCAAGATCGCTAATTAACTGTTAAATTAGAATAACTTTGTCATCTATTGTTAGTAAAGTTGCCTGGAAAAAACGACTTAATTAATATACTACTTGAAGAACTTTATATCAAAAGGTTAGAAGCACAACAGTCTCAAAGGATTTATAAAAATTTATCAAAGTATTAGCTTGATTTAGCATTTACTTATTTATATATTTTAACCTTATTTTACTTTCATTTTTTTTAATTTTTATATCTTTAAAATAACTTTTTAATTTATCCTTTTTTTTTTCTTTTTTCTTTTCGCTTTTCACCTTTAAATAAGCAAATTTGCCATTTGAGATGCAATTGTATAGAGTGACATGGAAATATTCACTTTAATACTTTCGTAATATTTATATCTTTAAAATAACTTTTTAATTTATCCTTTTTTTTTTCTTTTTTCTTTTCGCTTTTCACCTTTAAATAAGCAAATTTGCCATTTGAGATGCAATTGCATAGAGTGACATTGAAATATGCACTTTGATTATATGCCAAAATGTATACGCCCACTGCAAAAAATGAATTCTTATTTTAAGAAAAAAATTGCTTACCATACTGACAAGTAAAAACATCGAAATTAAAAGTTAAACATTGTTATAGACACTTGAAAAAAAAAGTTTTTATCATTTTTTGGTGCCCTATTATCTTGGCGTCCGGGGCATGTATGCCCCCTTGCCCCCCCTTGCGGCGGCCCTATATATATATATATATATATATATATATATATATATATATATATATATATATATATATATATATATATATATATATATATATATATATATATATATATATATATATATATATATATATATATATATATATATATATATATGTGTGTGTGTTGATTGTTTTAGATAAGTTCAAATATTACTTATTTTTTCTCCTAGAATGTTAAGAATCTTAGTTGAAAGATTCTTTATGTTTTTATTAAAATTATTTATCTGATTTTATTAAAAGATACTAAGAAATATTATATTAAAAAATTACACTACAAAAACAAATATTTGTTTATTCAGTGTCATGGCTAGTGGGTTGCAAGGCCCTCTCCCAAAAAAAAACCTGTCATTAGGGCCCCGAAATTTCAATACATTTTCGACTAGATATTACTAAAAAAAATTAAAAAAGACCCTCAAATTTGTAAAAGGGTCCTAAATTTAAAAATAGTACCGTTAAATTTGCTGCTTTACCCCCAACTGGGTGTGTGGGGTGCCATAGCCACAGCTCTGTTAAAAATGAATATATTTAAACATAATAAAAGGCTGAATATTTTATGATAATTTTTAAATATATAGTTGCTATTTACATTAATTGCTTTAATCCAAAAATATTTATTGGTTCTTTATTGGATTTTAAAGTTTTACTGAGTTATTAAAAATAAGTAGTGTAGAAAGCATTTTTAAACTTGAAAACAGAACAAACTATTTAGTTTTCAATTTAACTATTGTTTATTAGCTAGTTTAGAACTAAAAATAAAAAAAACTGGTACTTTATTGTTTTTAGCGCTTTTTTATGAACCCTTTGCTTTCTTGTCACAAAGTGTCGCAAAATCCATACATCCCTCCTCCCCATCCTTGTACAGTGTGACATAACTTATGAACGCCTCCTTAGAAGTTACTTCCTTATGAGTATTTTTTATTTTGCGGTACTTCACTAAATAAAATAAAATATATAGACTACCAAAGCGTGATATAATATAGAAACAGTCCTACGTTTTGAGTAAAGTTTTATATAAAGAGAAACATAGTTCTTTTAACTACCACATCAAAAATAATACTTGTCAAATTTATTTAATATTTAATAATAATAATTTATTTAATTTTGCAATTAAGGGGCTGATCATAAATTACGTCACACTTTTTTAAAAATTTTTAGATACCTTTTCTCCCCCTTGTGACAAACTCCTAATCCACTCCCCTCATTCCTACAACGTTATTTATAAAATGCTCTTAACATATAAGATAAAGAACTATATTTAAAAATAAATGGTCGAATATCAAAGGTTTTGGACGAAAATGAAGATTGAAATGAACTAAATATCAATTTTTGCGTATTTTTGAAGCATGGTATTTAGACAAACAATCTAGCAACCATATAACTTTTTATCCTTTTTTAGTATAAAATAATGAAATGAAATTGGCATCGTGAACCAGAAGTATTCGGTAAACTAACTAGAGGATACAATCAAAGATTGAGAAGACAGTATGTTTAAAATTTTTTGCCGAAGCATCATTTCTTCACGTTAATAATTTCGACAAAAAACAGCTGTTAAAATCTAACATCTACAATTGTTAGGTTCTTTTTTGAAACTCAAAAACACAGCTTCAAAAAATAAAAAAATATAAAAAATAAAAAAGAAATCTTAAAAATCAGTGAAAGTATGGTCATTATTCTAATTTCAAGTTTGAAAATGCGTTTGACTCCGTTTGGTAATAATTCTAAAATATTTGTAAAGCTTTGAAGTTCAAATCTAAAAAACAAATGAATATTTTTTCAATAATTATTTTAGCATTGATCTTCTTGTATGAATAGCAACAACATAATAAAAAAATAACAATTTTGAAGGTTTTCCCGAATAAGCTCTGCCCAGGAAATAACTACAGAATTTTTGGATGTTTTAGATAAGACATTTTACGCACTGTACAAACTCCAAACATAAATAAATTAATGCCTTTGTCAAACGAAGATGCTTGGCAAAAAGTTTCAATGATGGAGGTCTGGGAACAAAAAATCCTAAAACGTTTGCCCCCTGCCCAAACGTGAGGACAGTGATGTAGTAAAATTCAACTTTGCTATTTTATACTAAATTTAAATTTGTTAACAGGTATTAAATTTCATTCAAAAATAGTGTAATAAAAAATTGTACAAAATGGTTATGACCATGCAAAATTTTCGCTACCTCTAGAAATCTAACAAAAATCATCAAACAAGAATTCCTTCGTGTGGAAATAATATCCAAAGGAATTGTAGTGTTACAATCATTAACAGTGGCGAATCCAGGTCATTGTCCTAGGTAGGGGGGAGGGGGCTAATTTGACTTTAAAAATTTTTTTTAATGTATCTGTTTATAAATATCTTGAATAAAATCAAATGTTAAAAATAAATATTTAATCTGTAATAAGGGACAGATTTATATTCT